TTGCTTGCCAGATAGCTTCTCTGCTTCATATGCTGATGACGTGAGCAATAGCACCATGCAGTCAATTTGACAGCTCTTCGCCATGGACGGGACTACAAGTAGGGGTAAGTTGAAGCGTGTACACAGACAGTCCAGTCGTTCTCATGTCGGTTGCTTATGAGGCTACGGCAGCTTAAATAAGGCCCCTTGTAGGCAATACTGTCTTTGAGGCATATCAGTTTATACGGCATATCTAGCAGCAGTGTTGGGCAAATTAGTCAGAAATTGTAAAGAGTTACTTTTTTAAAAGTAACAATATTACTTTACTTATTACTGGGTATTAAAAGCAAATAGTCATGTTACTCTTTGAGTTACAATGACTTTCAACCACCGCACTCCAAACTCCTTAAAAGTGATGGGAAACCTGTTCAGCAGCACGTTGTAGAAATGACTCCACTTTACTGGAACAATAATTAACCTGAGGAGTCAACAACCAGCCAAAAAAACGCTAAACATTGCTTAATGCCACTCTTTCCTGCTGAATGGATGCATTACTGGCAGTAGCTGCTGGAGTTTCCTTCTACAAGCTAAGTTTTATCTACTACCTGTGGCCAAGACTGAACGACTATCTTTGGCCTCAGGTGAAGATCCCAACGATGGTCGTTCAGTCTTGGCCACAGGTAGTCTTAACGACTGTAACGATTATAGTCACAGCAACAAGGAACACTAACGAACCAGCGGTATCGATGACCCTGGCCAACGACCCCACTGAGTTTAAATAGCTGAGTTTCCCTGCCAGTCAGTCAGAACTGAAGAAGTCCTTTGGTTGAGGGACGAAACGTCTTCCAGTATCTTCAACCAAGTCCAGTTGCCCTTGATTTTAACCTTCGTTGGATAACTATGACCTGGATGACTGAGAATCTTCATAGACATCAAGTTAAGTTTTAGGTAGCTGTGCTGCTTTAGCAGATGCTTCAATACAAAATTGTTCATGGTTGAAAGCTTTTTGCTGGTCACACAAAGTTTACAACGGAAGACAATGTTCTTTACATCTCTGACTGTGACATAGCTAGGCCTAATAGCAGTTGTGGAAAGAACGCCTCTCTCGTTCTCCATTCTTCCTTTAGCTTTTTGGCTTGCAGCTGACTTGAACAACATTAGGTCCGGTGTCGCTGACCTGCATCACGGTCTTGCTTGTTATATTAATATGCAAAATTAAACACAAACTTACAGATCTAACTCTGAAGCGAGCGGCAATGATCAGGATTCAAGCAAGTTGCAACATTTGACATTTTCAGAGGAGAAGAACAGATGCAGATGACTTGAGAGATTAAAGTAATGAAAGAATTTGGACTTTGAGATAATTAGGGAAACACAAACAGCATCACCTTGAGATCAGAGAGTGGCATTATATGTACCTGACTGCTGGGTGAAATGTTCAACCAGGGTTCGAGTTATGTGGGAAGCCAGTGGGAGTTCAGTTCCCATAAGGAGGGTAAATAATGTATTTTTTATTGTAATTAGTACTATTACACGTACTGGTCATATAATTAGAATATCATCAAAAAGTTGATTTATTTCAGTAATTCCATTCAAAAAGTGAAACTTGTATAATGTATACATTCATTCCACAAAGGACTGATATATTTCAAGTGTTCATTCCTTTAAATTGTGATGATTATAACTGACAACTAATGAAAACCCCCAAATCAGTACCTCAGAAAATTAGAATATTGTGAAAAGGTTCAATATTGAAGACACCTGGTGCCACACTCTAATCAGCTAATTAACTCAAAACACCTGCAAAGGCCTTTAAATGGTCTCTCACCCCACAATCATGGGGAAGACTGCTCACTTGACAGCTGTCCAAAAGACGACCATTGACACCTTGCACACGGAGGGCAAGACACAACAGGTCATTGCTAAAGAGGCTGGCTGTTCACAGAGCTCTGTGTCCCAGCACATTAATAGAGAGGTGAAGGGAAGGAAAAGATGTGGTAGAAAAAAAGTGCACAAGCAATAGGGATAACCGCACCCTGGAGAGGATTGTGAAACAAAACCCATTCAAAAATGTGGGGGAGATTCACAAAGAGTGGACTGCAGCTGGAGTCAGTGCTTCAAGAACCACCACGCACAGACGTATGCAAGACATGGGTTTCAGCTGTCACATTCCTTGTGTCAAGCCACTCTTGAACAAGACACAGCGTCAGAAGCGTCTCGCCTGGGCTAAAGACAAAAAGGACTGGACTGCTGCTGAGTGGTCCAAAGTTATGTTCTCTGACGAAAGTAAATTTTGCATTTCCTTTGGAAATCAAGGTCCCAGAGTCTGGAGGAAGAGAGGAGAGGCACAGAATCCTCGGGTGCTTGAAGTCCAGTGTAAAGTTTCCACAGTAAGTGATGGTTTGGAGTGCCATGTCATCTGCTGGTGTTGGTCCACTGTGTTTTCTGAGGTCCAAGGTCAACACAGCCGTCTACCAGGAAGTTTTAGAGCACTTCATGCTTCCTGCTGCTGACCAACTTTATGGAGATGCAGATTTCATTTTCCAACAGGACTTGGCACCTGCACACAGTGCCAAAGCTACCAGTACCTGGTTTAAGGACCATGGTATCCCTGTTCTTAATTGGCCAGCAAACTCGCCTGACCTTAACCCTATAGAAAATCTATGGGGTATTGTGAAGAGGAAGATGCGATATGCCAGACCCAACAATGCAGAAGAGCTGAAGGCCACTATCAGAGCAACCTGGGCTCTCATAACACCTGAGCAGTGCCACAGACTGATCGACTCCATGCCACGCCGCATTGCTGCAGTAATTCAGGCAAAAGTAGCCCCAGCTAAGTATTGAGTGCTGTACATGCTCATACTTTTCATGTTCATACTTTTCAGTTGGCCAACATTTCTAAAAGTCCTTCTTTTGTATTGGTCCTAAGTAATATTATTAGTTGTCAGTTTTAATCCTCACAATTAACTGAAATAAACATTTGAAATATATCAGTGTGTTGTCAATTATATACAAAAAAGAAAATGTTGTGCATACTGTACAAGTTATAACAAGATTCTGAATATCACTGCAGACTCACCGTTTGACCAATCTAAAAACCCTTTGAAACACTTGATATTGGCCATGTGTTGATTTTGGTAGCATTTGATGAAAGACTTGGGGAAATATAGATGTTAATTGATATAGCATATTCTGAAAAATATAGAGTGTCAACTCTGTGATTTTCGTAGAATTTTTGAATTTGGAATGAGAAATGTCTAGAAATTAACATTCCTTGTAAAAAGCCACGCCCACTTTGAGCAATCATTACTAAATTTTATGCATCAACTGAGTAGTGACCCTGGATCGTACAAACCATAGACTGTATATAAGAACTGGACGTAGTCATTGTGACGTCACCCTTTGGTTTGAGGACTGCCGTTTTGAAGCCTCGAGTTTGGCCGATAGGGCACCGCCATGTCGAGTTTTTGCAACCAGTAAGTGCCTGGATGTGACGATATAGCAGAGCTAACGGCCGTGTGCAGAGCTAGCTAGCTTGCTTAGCTAGGTGCAACTGTAACTCACGTTAACTGTCATTTTAACAGGGCTGATAACTCTGTCTAGCGAACAGTCTTAAAACTAAATGTACTCACCAGAGAAAGTGAACAGCCAACTCCTAATAAGCTTTTTCAATGGTGCTGGTTAAATTTATACAGTGCCGAGCGTACGAGTCAGCTCTAGCCTGATTGATAGGTCGCCATGGTAACGACTTGTCAATCATAGATAACCCCGCCCTGAAACAAACTCTGCATTGTGGTCTATTTTAAAATAAACGGGACCATAATTTACTAAATGAACATCACTTTGTATTGAAAAAGACTTGAAACTAGCGACTGAGACCATAAACTCATCAGGAAAGTGTTTACTGGGGTAATGATTCAGCTGAGAAGTAGGGTTATTTTCCTGTTATTTCTAATAGGGCCAGACTTCTTTTTGCAACCAGAAGAGTTGCACCCCGCTTGGTACAAACCGAATTTTGTATGAATCCATGCAGCGAAATACAAGGTATAAACCTTTGGCAAGTGTAGTGCCCCCTAGTGGAAGAATATCCCAGGACTGCTCAGCACAGCTAGAACCGAGCATCTGAACAGACGTGTCAAGTTTGGTTAAAATAGCATAAGCCAATTTTATTTACGGGCATTTATGTAAAATTGTACGTAAATACACAAAATTAAAAATTTATGAAAAAAACCCAGATCGATGTAACAAAATTCTTTTGATAACGTTTGATCAGCGACATCCGTGCATGATCCTGCCAAAGTTTCAGGTCAATTGGCGAAAACATCTGGGACGAGTTCGAAAAAATATGTTTCAGAGAAAAGTGATAAAAAGTCTTATAATTTGACATTTTTAGAACAGAAGACCTTTGGAGCAAAGATGCAGATGAATCCAGAGATTAAAATAATGAAAGAAGTTTGACTCTAAACAAAGCCGATTTCGAGATAATTGCAAAAACGTTAATTGTTATAGCGCCACCATGAAGACTGAGTACCATTTTTTTTGCCTGAGTAGTGGATGGAATTTGCAACCCACCTGCCAATTCCGGTGAGTTTTAATCCAGCAGTTTTTGCTGCCCAAACACATTCAGTGGAGAAAAAGAAGAAAGAAAGAAAGAAAGAAAAACAATAGGGCTCCCTAATAAAATAAAAAATATTTTCCAAAGGTTTCCCTTATACCTTCATTGGTCGTTTTGGGATCTAAATTCCTTGTGTAGGCTAACGTTACTGCTCTTGTGGTGTGGGCGGATGGATAGAATCTCTGGTTGCAGATAACAGATGGACAATTTCTGTATCAAATGTGATATTCTGATGAAGTAAACAGTGGACCTTCTTGGCCTTAATCATTCCAGCAAGTAAGTATCATATTTGTTTTCTACATAGTAAGCAGCGCTTCTTCCAGATCTAAACCTTGTCCGCGGCTGTTCTGACTTCACCCAGACACAGCTGCTGTGAAGTGATGCTCAACAACAAAGTGACGTCATCAGGAGGCGACTCTCGCACCTCAGAGAGCCACAGCGTCGTTCAGCCCATTAAAGACGGCAGACAGTGTGATTTGCACGCTGAGCTGTTTGCATGTCACCAGTCACACCTCGGTGTGTGGATTTGTTCACGCGCGTGCACCGCACAGCAGCAGCCGCCAGCCTCGCGCATCTGTCCGTCCGAACAGACAGACAGAACTGGCGATGATGGCGGACTGCGTTGGCTTTCAAGCGCAAATCGCCTCGATTATAGAGATACTTGCCAATTCGGCGGTGGCGGAGATCTGCAAACTGGTGGACGATGGCTACGCGGCGCTGCGCTCCCAGATGGACCAGGAGCGGGAGAAGAGCGAGAAGGAGAACGATGCCCTGCGGCAGAAACTGCGAGAAATGGACGTGAAGATGCGGAGCTACGAGAGGAAGATGAGGAGACGGATTCAGCGGGAGGAACTGCACACCGTTCATTTTAGGCCGCCCGAAGGTAAATAGATGGAGATGGCTGGGTCAGGAAACATGAGGTCTGAGGGAGTCATGACACACACTGTCCTCATACATACAGCAATGTGTTTATTGATGAGCAGATCTGTTCAGTCTTTGGTCAGTATGACACCATACTGTAGCCTGCTTCAAGACTGCTTTAACTTTTGCAGCTCTGCTGTCATTACTGGGCACACCGTCCACTGTGACCGCAGCATCATACAGGCTCACACAACGTCCTGTCACACGCCAGTGCTCCATTTGGCAGGCTGGCCTCAATGACTTCTGAGTGGAGTTTGACCAAATGCGTGGATAGACTGGATTTGTGGCAGTTCAGGTGAATTACAGAAATGCTATTTTCTAACCCCCCTCTAATTGTATTCAGCCATGCACATATTCCATGTTGGGTGATCCAGATAAAATAAGATATAAGATAATAAGGTATACTTTGATTGTCCCCAAAGGGAAATGTGTTTCATTCTGCAGCTTTGCAAACAAAAACAACAACAGAAAAACAATAAAAATAATATCTTTCAACACAAACTCACATGCAACTCAACACATGCTCTAATATACATAAGACAGGTACTACAGTATATACATATACACATTCAGGCCTTCTCACATTGGCTGCATCTGATGACACAACCCATACAGCCTGCATTGCACAAATGAGATATTGCACAACGCAAATAGCCTACATATTGCACAATAACATTGCACAACCCTAATGGCCTACATGCTAGTGTTGATTAGCTTAATGGAGATAGGTACAAATGAATGTTTATATCGGTTCAGCTTGCACTTGGGAATCCTGAATCTTCTACTAGAGGGTAAAGATTAAACAGGAAATTCTGGGTGAAGTATGTGGGTCAGGTCAGACACATCTGTTTGTGCCTGTCTGATAACCGACTGCTCATAGATTGTCTGGGGGGTGGCGAATGGTTTTTGACTCCTATAATCTTCATGGCTGTCTGCACCTGACGGGCAATCTGTTATTTGGACTGTAACCTACTGTGAGGTTACCATAGCAGTCTGTAATACCATATCTTAAAATACTCTTTAGTATTGCATGACAAAACAACATCAAGTTTTGTTTGTCTATGTAAAAAATGCATCCTCTGTTGAAATCTGGAGCAGAGACTATCAACATGAGCCTTCCAGCTGAGTGCATTGTCAAAATGTACACCAAGATACTTATTAGAGCAAACCTGAGTGATGGGTACATTGTTGATGACTACAGGCCTGGGGTCACCTCTTGCCTTTGGGTCAAATACCATCTCCTCTGTCTTTATCACATTTTGCACAAGATAGTTGTCACACCACTCGACAAATTCCTCAGTTTCTGTCTGCTGGACTTCTATCCTTGTGCATAAGGCCAAGGATTGGTGTATCATCTGAGAATTTAATAATTTCATTGTTAGGGTGGAGTCTGGTGCAGTCGTTAGTGTAGTCAAAGTCCTTATAGGCAAGTCATGCCACATGCCACCGGGACATAAAAACTACATGAACAGAATCAGCGTTAAAATCTAATAAAAATCGCTGAAAAACTTTGAAAACTTTCCCCCAAAATAAGGTTTAAAAAGCGTTTTTCCCGACCGGTTATACTTCTACTACACATGCGTCATCACTTCCGTGCATGCGCAGTCGAACAATAACAGACCCTTAAGTCAGTGGAACCTCACGATTGGCTGAAATATGATTCCCGCTTTGGCTGTTAAAAGCAGACGATTGGCTTTCTAGTGGGAGGGGTGGGATACGGCATTACGGGCTTTCCCCATAGAGTTGTATTGAGGATAAGTTTCACGTTGCCGTGCTGCTTTAGCAGATGCTTCGATACAAAATTGTTCACGGTTGAAAGCTTTTTGCTGGTCACACAAAGTTTACAACGGAAAACAATGTTCTTTGTATCTTTGTAGTGTGACATAGCTAAAAGCCTAATGGCAGTATTTACAGCTTTAGAAAGAACCCCTCTCTCCTTCGTTCTTCTTTTAGCTTTTTGGCTAGCAGCTGACTTGAAAAAGATAAGATCTGATGTTGCTGACCTGCAGCGTGGTCAAGGTTCAGTATCTTGCCCAAGGACACTTCTACATGCAGCCTGGGGGAGCTGGGGATTGAACCGCCGACCTTCCAATTAACGGGCAACCCACTCTACCTCCTGAGCCTAACATATTACAATGTTATCGCACATTGAATATTTTTCTCATATCGTGCAGGCCTACCTCATGCCAGTTGGGTAATGTCCTACCAAATAACCGTTACTAAATAATAGTAAAGTATCAATAGTGGTATCGATAAAGACTCTGATCGTTAAGCAGTCTCAATAATGGTATCAGTATCAATAAAAATTAACGATCCCCATCTCTATCTACATACCCATTTATACAATGGTGGCTGTAATCATTCCTACTGTGCACGCTGATTGCATTGCAATAATGAATTAATGCAGTGAATACAGCAATAGACAGCCAATGACCAATGTCAACCAAACTTTAAGGTTGCTGCACACTGCCCAGACAGTGCCCAACTAGCACCAACATTCTAAACTGGGCAGTAAATGACCCTTCGCTAAGCCATGCCCCGAATACACAGCTGGCCATTGACTCAATGCAAAAACAGTCGCTTTCTAGCTTATTTCGGCTTTATGTATACAGATATGGTCAAACACTGTTTCTGGGGCACTTGTGATAGTTACAGTGGCTATCCAGAGAGGTTGAAAGAAGAAGTACGATTTATTCTCTTTCCAAAACCTAAAATAAATGCAATTCCTAATGTAATGCTAGTTAGCTAACGCTAGCTAACTTCCTACTGAATGTAACGTAATAAAGCCCTACCGTTCTGCTTTTTAATGACTGTAATAATTAATAGAGGCCTACCCAGCTTTACAGGAACATTGTTGATCGTTCATATCGTTGTCCTTTGTCTCAATCGTCAGGGGATGCGGTTCACTTCTACTGTGTGATCGGTAATGTTAGGCTTTAGCTTCTATCTTTCATTTTTTTCACATCTGTTTGAGTCAATTTGAGTCAGTTTGACAGCCTGAATACAACCTTCAAATGTATAATGCAACTGCAAAACTGTCTGCTTCTTTCTGAGATTGCTTTTTCCAACAGGGGCGGGGCTTAGCGAAGCGTCAATTGGTTGCAGTCAACCAACTGCCAGTTCCACACTGCCCAGACGGTACTCAGACAGACTTTTTGCTTTTTCTTAAAATAATGTAGTCATAAGGATAATTGCAAGACAGACACTGTATTTTATATATAACCCAGCCAAAAATCATGTCAATTAAAGGCTACAGTCTGTTTTCCAAATATAAAGAAGGGTATTAACTATAGGCCTACCAAATACAAATTTCATCTGCAACAATAGGCATTTAAATGATTATAGGCATCACATTTACATGCCTATAATCATGTAAATGTCATGCCTGATTTCTGATAAACTGCAAACAACTGTAATTACTCCCTTACAAGAGACATTTTCTCCTTTTTTTACGGAAACTCGTCTAATTATGATCACCTATGACAGAAATACATGAATCAATATTGGAAAAGAGAGTGCGGGGACTGGACTGAGTGCAGCGGATCTGGAAACGATAACTAGCAACGATAACAGCAGCATACCTGAAGAAGCTGTCACACCTGACAGGAGGAGTTTATTCCGCGCAGACTCTGGACTCCAGTAAAATGAGGGGAGGCAGACCGTATATCTACATAAATGATGCTTGGTGGTCAAACGCAGCTAAAGTGAATGGACAATGTTTATTAGATGTGGAATTTTTAATGTTGAGATGTGGGCCATACTATCTGCCCAAAGAATTCTCCAGCGTTTCTGTTGGTGCTGTTTACATTCCTCCAAGATGCAAATTCAAAACATGCACTACAGGAACTGTATGAGATCATCAGCAGTCACATGACAAAACAACCTGATGGTGTTTTTATTGTTGCTAGCGATTTTAATCAAACAAATATTAGAACAGTATTACCTAAATTATACCAGCATGTCCACATCCCCATCAGAGGAACACATACGCTGGACCACGTCTACACCAATCTTCCTGGCAGCTACAAAGCCCTCCCCCGTCCCCATTTTGGTTTATCAGACCATATTTCTCTGCTTCTTCAGCCCACTTACACCCAGCTGATTAAAACCAACAATTAAAACAGTGAAAGTGTGGACAGATGAGGCTACAGCAGCTCTACAGGACTGTTTTGGGAGCACAGACTGGAGCGTGGTCAGAGAGGCCGCCACCCAAGAGAGCCACATCAACCTTGAGGAATATATATCATCAGTTACATCAGCAAATGTGTTGATGATGTGGTGATCACTAAAACGATAAAATCATTCCCCAATCAGAAGGCCTGGATGAACGGACAGGAGAGGGCTCTGTCAGCCAAAACAGCTGCTTTTCGGTCTGGTGATAAAGAAGCTTACAGCAAGTCTGTCTTGTGAGTACCGTCTGGGCAGTGTGGAACATATTCAACTCACGCGAATTCCTTTGTGTTGCCTTCTTGTCGCTGGCTCTATGCATCTTTGCATTGACTTTGTATGTAAACTCACCGCCCCGAACGCTCTCTTTGCTTTTGGTCTGAAAGCACCATGAGGCCACGTTACCAGATGAACGGAACACCTTTTCTGCTCGCTTTGATCTCCTCAACAAGGAGCCAGCTGTAAAGTCTACTCCCCCTCCAGAGGACCGGCCACTGCCAGTATCACAGCAGATGTAAGAAGTCCTGCTGAGTGAATATGAGTAAATCAGCTGGGCCTGATAACATCCATGGCCATGTACTAAAAACCTGAGCCAATCAGCTACTTTTCAACATCTCACTGTCTCAGGAGAGGGTTCCCACCTGCTTCAAGACAGCCACCACTAAACTACCGCCCTGTGGCTCTCACCCCCATTCTGATGAAGTGCTTTGAGAAACTGGTTCTTCAGCACATAAAGAACATCCCAGCCAGCCTGGACCCTCACCAGTTTGTTTTCAGAACCAACAGATCCACAGAGGACGCCATCTCCACTGCCCTCCACTCAGCCCTCACACACTTTGAGAAAAACAACACCTACATCAGAATGCTGTTTGTGGATTTCAGCTCAGCGTTCAACACAATCTCCCCATGAAACTGATCAGCAAACTCAGCACTCTGGGTTTAAATACAACACTCTAGATATTAGATGGGGCGGAAGGTAGAGTGGGTTGCCCCGTTAATCGGAAGGTCGGCGGTTCAATCCCAGCTCCTCCAGGCTGCATGTCAAAGTGTCCTTGGGCAAGATACTGAATTGCCCCTGGTGGCTGTTCCACTGGTGTATGAATGAGCACTTAGGCTCAGTGTATGAATGTGTGTGACTGGTGAATGCAGATGTAGTGTAAAAGCGCATTGAGTGGTCGAAAAGACTAGAAAGGCACTATACAAATACGCAGCATTTACATTTACAGATATTGGGCTTCCTCACAAACAGACCGCTGACAGTTCGGATTGGCGGACACACCTCCTCCACTCTAGTGCTCAACACCAGAGCCCCCCAGGGCTGTGTGCTCAGCCCCCTCTTGTTCACGCTGTACACCCACGACTGACGGTGGAGCTGAGGTGGAGCAGGTGAACAGTTTCAGGTTCCTGGGAATCAGCATCACAGAGAAGCTGACGTGGTCGTCTCACATCTCCACGCTGGTGAAGAAAGCTCAGAAACCACTGTATTTCTTGAGGAAACTTAAGAAGGCCAAATTCCAGCGCCAAGTGCTTGTCGGCTTCTACAGAGGAGCAATAGAAAGCATCCTGACTGGAAACATCACAAACTGGCATGGGATGTGCACGGCCCAGGACCAGAGGGCTCTGCAGCACGTGATTCAAACTGCTCAGAAGATCATTGGTACCCATCTCCCGAGCATCAGGGATATCTGTGAGGTGCCTGCAGAGCCCAAAGGATACTAAAGGACAGTACCCACCCAGCCACAGCCTGTTCACCCTGCTGCCTTCTGGGAAGAGATATAGAAGTTTCAGCTGCCTCATAATTTTTCATAATTGATTATGTATTAATGTATATTAAGGGAGTTACAAAACACAATTTCACTCTATAACTTGTTGTATTGTGACAAGAAACCTACCTACCTACTAGGGATGGGGATCGAGACCCGGTTCCAAAAGGACCCGGTTCCAGAATTTTTTGAGCTTATCGATACTGCTATCGAGACTTGCGGGTACTATGATGTAACGTTAAGTCTCAAGTGTCAATTCTTATACTACTTTACTTACTATACTTTATCAATCCACCTGTCTGTAAGGAAACGTTAATGTAGAAATGGTTAATTTAATCATCTCTGTCCTCAGTATCTCATCCTGTATGTTTTATACAAACACAGCTAACGCTAGCTTGGCGTTAGCCAAATGTTAAAAACAAGCTGAATAGAAAGCTGTCTGTCTGGAGCACAGACTGGTCTGTAGTCTTAAAAACTCAGCTGTTGGCTGAGACAAACCAGCCGCTCCTCCTTCTACCTGGTAACATTACCTGCAGCCAGCGAGAGAGGAGGAGGGACTGATCCAGGCTGATGTTGTTCTTTCTAAACTCACTCACTAGTGATGTCAGATAAAGTTATTGAGTTACTTTGCTGTTGTAAACATTGCTGCTCTAACGATATTTAGCTGTATTTAAAATATTAAATTAAAAACAATCAGGCAGTTAATATGTACACTTCAATATATCTATATCAATATATCTTTATCGCAAGTGATATTTCATCTCAGTATATAACGTTATCGCACATTGAATATTTCCCTCATACCATGCAGGCCTACCTCATGCCTGTTGGGTCTGGTCTTAACGAATAACCATCACTAAATAATAGTAAAGTATCGATAGTGGTATCGATAAAGAATCGGATCATGAAGCAGTCTCAGTAAGGGTATCAGTATCAATAAAAATTAATGATCCCCATCCCTACTACCTACCAAAGACATACCTTTGCTATTACCATGGACATAAAGTGATGCTTATTTGCATCTTATGACCGTTTGATCCAGATAAAAGCAGCTGTAGACTTAGAGAAACTGGGCAATACAGCTTTAAAATGCTGCGTGCAGTTTTCACTGGACTTTTAAATTCAATTTTATTTATATAGCGCCAGTTCACAACAACAGTTATCTCATAGCGTTTTCCACATGGCACCTGAGCTGTAACAGTCCTTCCACAGACACAGACTGACGGCGCACACTGATCCAATGGTTGGTGTTGGTTGAGTTGCTCTGCGTTTGTCTGGGTAATGTGCAGCCACCTCCCATACTAAATAATTCTTTTTTTGTTATGTTTTCTTTCTAAAGAAGTACCTGATTCTCCCAGGTTATCATCCACTCACTACTAAGCTGATAGAAATTGTTAATAGCAGGCTCATTGGTGGCAATCAGGTACAACATCTGTTATTATGAAAAGTGAGGTCACACATAAAATGTGTTGGAACAGACTGTGTTACCACACTCTCGGACAGCTGAAGGCACAGCGTAACACTGGTAAGGAAGTCTAAGTCAGAGAAGACTTCCAGCTGCGGGTGTGAGGTCAAGTGGCATTAAGAACAGTATTGCTAAGATGGTAAAATGAGAAAAAGAGGCTTGCATGGGGACTACTAACAGACTGAAAGAAGGTCTTAAGGACCGATGAATCAAAATTTGAAATCTTCGGTTCATCATGCGATGTCCTTTGTGTGTGAAACAAACTGTCAAACACGAAGGAGGAAGTGTGATGGTCTGACTCTTTTGCTGGATCCAGAGTCAGGGACTTGCACAGGGATAGGTGAAAGTAAGGAAAGAGCTATGGTGAAAATATGAGTTTGGATTTAAAGGCCCCAACAGAATCACACAGTCTGTCAACAGGGAGGTTATTCCAAAGGAGGGGCACGAGAGAAAAAGGCCCAGCAGCCTGCTGATTGCTTTTCAACTAGACAGGGCCCTGTATTCTCAGAGCGGTGAACATGGGATGGAATATGTAAAAATGCTATAAAGTAAGAATGCTTTCAAAAATAGACATGTTATTAAATTATATTTATCAATTAACAAATTGCAAGTGCGCAAACAGAAGAAAATCTTAATCAAATCAATATTTGGTGTGACCACTACTTGCCTTGAAACAGCATCAGTTCTTCTAGGTACACTTGCACAAAGTTTTTGAAGAAACTCAGCAGGTAGGTTGGCCCAAAAATCTTGGAGAACTCCCCACACCTAAAGAAGTTCTCAGAGGACTCCTCCTTCATCTTCTGTTTTACTGATGACAGGGAGGAGGATTACAAAGACCTAATCGAGAGTTTCAGTGGATGGTGCAACAACAACCACCTCCTTTCATCATAGGAAAAACCAACGAGCTGGTGGTGGACTTCAGACGGAGTAAGAGGCCCCATGTACACCCCAGTCGTAATAAGGGGTAGGGGATAGAGATAGTAGATATCTTCACATTCCTGGGGTGCAACTCAAAAACAACTGGACTGGAGAGACGACACAGAGGCCCTCTACAGGAAAGGTCATAGCTGGCTGTTCTTCCTGAGGAGGCTCAGGTCCTTCGTTGTGTGCAGCAGGCTGCTATGGAAGTCTGTAGTGGCCAGTGTCATATTCTTTGCCGTGGAGTGCTGGGGAGGTGGCATCGGGCACTTGTGGCGCCAACAAACTGGGCAAGCAGGTGAAGAAGGCCAGCTCAGTGGTGGGATGGAACTGGACAGTGTGGAGGCAGTGACTGAGAGGAGGATGAGAGGAAAGCTGAAAGCCATCATGGACAACCCCTCTCATCCTCTGTATGTATTCATCCCTACTGCTTGTTTTTTGTGGAATTCAAATGAAAAACCTTCAGCTGATTGTTGTCCTGTAAATTACCTGTAGACTGGAACCTGTCTAGATTCCTGTATTTTTGTCCTGTGCATGCTGGGATATAAACAAGCAGTTTTGGGGCGCCTTTTAAGCTACTTGTTCCATCTCTGCTCCTATCAACAAATGGTTGTATTTATCCTATTAGGGTTTTTTTTTCCTGCTACATTACCACATTTTCTCTCCCAGTGACAGAAATCTGATATTTTTACATTAGAATAGCGTTCAAGCATTCAAGATCAGAAATAAGATAGCACAATGTGAGCTCACTCAGAAGCTAAGAAATGATTTTGAAGAGAAAGACTTCATTTTCTAAATGATGATTCAGTTAGCCAAAAGTTCAAAAGGCAGGCAAACTGGTGGACGAAATTTGCTCAGTGTTCTGTGCTGTTTTTCAGGATCTGACGACCATCAGCCTCTGGTGTTGCCTCTCCATGCTGCCTCTGAAGACAAACCCTTGCATCGCATTTCAAAGGTAAACATTAATCAGCAGAATTTATTTCAAAATATGGTCTATTGAGACTTGTATTTCAGGCAGGTTTGTAAGGCTACCCCTACATACCCCTACATACAAACAAAAGAAGGCACTAGAAATGACACACACTCACAGGTGACCTGGAAACTTTAACCTCTGTGGTGTCGTGTTCACTCAAGTAGACCAAACTGCTAAAACCACAACAACACATTGAACATACAGTTTACAAAAGTGAAATGTGTTATGTGATTAACATTTGACAGCAGGAATTAACCTGAAATAACTTGGCTATAGCTTCCTGCTGCTTCCGTCACAAGCTTACATAGCACAATGTGTTGTGAAGGATTTCTAGCTTGACATTCATATCTGCTGTGACATTGTGCATTTCAGCTAACCCATTTGTATGAACATGGTGACAAGTTTGAGTTCTACATTCATTCTGTGTGATGAATACACCTGATAAATGCAGATACGTCTTGTCATGTTCCAGCTGCTTTTCACTGTATCACAGCAGGAGGAAACCAAGGTGTTGCCACTGGTGAAGCAGGAGAAAGTGGAGAAAGATGACTGCAACCTGGACCTAAAGGTGGAGGTCAACATCAGGGCAGAGTGTGGCCTGTCTGCTGGTGAGTGTGGCTCTGTACATGATTAAAACATTGTTTCAGTGATTCTTCATGTTGTTTCAATGTTTACTCTGGTTTTAATAAAAACAAAGCAGAAATGAAGATAAACTAGAGGATAGCCGATGAAGAGTTTCAGTCGACTGGTCAGTTTGTCTTCATTAATACACCTTAGTCACAGCAAACATTTTGTGATAAAACATTCTAAACTATAGGTTCACCTAGTAGCCAATGGCCATCAGATGCACTTTGAGTCTTCCCTAGGTCAAGAATCAACCTCTGAGGTGTCACTAATTAATTTCAGTTCAGTTTTACTGACACGTATATGCCAAGCACATGGCGACACAGGCAAGGAAAACCTTCCTTCTAAAGGTTCAGTGTGTAATATTTCTGAGGATTTATTGACAGAAATTCAATATAAGATCCATAACTATGTTTTCAGTGATGTGTAAAGACCTTACGTAATGAACCATTATGTTTTTATTACCTTAGAATGAGACATTAATATCTCCATAACCTCAGGCACCCCCTTCCATGGACGTCGCCACATTGCATCGTCATGTTTCTACTGTAGCAGAAAACAGAAACGGCGCTACAGAGTGCGTTTCGACACTACGTTCTTCTTGTTTTACTTCTGGTACAATTCAGGCAGTGCAGACACTCATCACTATGTTGAATAAGTATGTTAGAAGAAGAAGAAGTAGCAATAATATACTGCTGGGGTTGGCAAATGTTACATTGGGGCAATATTTTCAACCATTAGATGGTGTATGAGAATAAAAGCCATAATATTGATCTGCATCAACATGTTACTTGGTTAGCTCGGTCGGTAAGATGTAGGACTGAAAACCCAAGGGTTTAGTGTTTGATCCCATCTTGAGGCAACTTTTTTATTCTCTCTTCAACCTGTGGATTCAGCAGCGAATGTTCCTCAGATTACGGCATGTTTTCTGACGGCTCATTCAGAGGTGTGTCAAGCAGGCTATAGACTTTTAATGTTGTTCAGAATGTTTCAAAGTAAAAGCGCAGTTCAACTCCAAATACTGCATTACAGTAAACAAGCTTCTTGCGCTTTTATTTTGTAGGCAAAACCACTAAAGAGGAAGTGATTATGTGAGTAACTGCCATGACTGAGATCTATTTCAGCACCGCTATCAAAGTATTATTTATTTTTATTTTTTGCTGCTATTGACACAACGTGTTATTTAGCATGAGAGCCAGATGGAGTCGGGACAGACAGTTGACGGCAGAAATTACAGATTTTTTGGGATTTTCCCAGATGGAAGGCTATAATGTGGGACAGATGTTTTCAAAGCGTAGCTGAAGTTGTCTGTTTTCTGCTGGATAGGTAAATAAGTTTCAGACTTCAGCGATGAAAATTAAAACTGTTGTTTGATAGCTTTCGCTAGAAGCTGTCCATAATCACAGAGAACCATGACATTGTTCCCCCGCAGTGGTGTGAAATGGATTAATTTCATGGCGCCTACTTATTCTCCAGCCTGTGGTTTGGCTTTGCCAACAATCAGCTGATCAGTAACGTTAATTGGCAATAACACCATAACGTTAGCTTAGAGCATGGAAGCATGAGGCAGCTAAACTTTTACTACCTGGTAGAAAAACATTTATTGTTAGTTGGATTGGTTTATTCTCCAGCGCTGTGCTTTGGCTTGTGGTGTTATGTTAGTTGAATTAATTTCATGGAGTTACTCTCTCTCTCTCTCTCTCTCCAGAGCTCTGTTTTGGCTTTGTATGTTACTTTAGTGAGAATCAGCTGATCACTAATTGGCAATAAATAAACGTCAGCTTCCAGCATCGAAGCTCAGATCAGCCAGCTAAACTAAAATATGTAGTTGGATTGTAATTTCATGTAGTTCTTCTCCAGCGCTCTGACATGGCTTTGTTACGTGGACAGAAATGTGCTGTTACCTTCCTGAGACAAACAGCTGATGAATATTATTGGCAATAAAACGGTAAAAGCAGAGAAGCTCAGATCAGCAGCTAAACTTCACATTTTACTGCCCTGCTGGAAAACATGTATTTATTTATACTGCTAATGGTGATATATAAGAAGACCGTGTGCCTATCAAGTGACCAATAATAAACACTTTCCGAATTTGCGACATGATACATCTTGTAGCACTTCATGTCTTCATGTGGCTGTTGTTTATTAGTGAAAAGTAACAATAATATTCAGAAAAACATTTGGTTTTACATGATTTATATAATTTCTTAACACATCTATCTAAAGAAACCTAATTTCTTGAATGGAAATCTCTTTTATCTCATAGAAGACATCTTTGTCCAGTCTCAGTCACCGTAGCTATACTGCTCGCTAGGGGAGGGGGGGTGCAATTCGCAATACTCACCACTGCCGTCACGCACAGCTCTTCCACACTGTCAGTGGCCAAGTCACAATAACATATGGTTTTACTGAATAATTAAGTAAATATAATTTACGGCCGAACAGCAGTCATGCAGCCTGCCTCCGATGTCGCAAGCAGATCATTTTCTCTGTTGCGCTGGCCAAGAGGGTCAGCAATCTGGCTGCCCTCTCTGTGGCTCTGTCATGTCTTAGGATCCTGCGCCCTAACCCTGCATTCATGCCTAAGAGCACCACTCTTTTTGGTCGAGGATGATTACTCTCTCGGGCTTCTTTCCTCCACCCCAAGGGTCTGACGACGAAGCTATGTCCCACCTCCTCTGCTCGGTGCGTGGGATGTCCTGCTACGTGGCGACACCGCTTGCAGCGCTTACGTATGATTTTCCCAGCCATATTCACAATTCTAGTCAGTTTGCACCTATTCTTAGCCCCAAGATTACGATACCATGTTGATAGGTTGTACGTGAGAACGCTCTTCACGAGATTTCTGTAGACAAACTCTAGGGTATTTTTGCTTACAGAGAAGCTGTTCAACTTCCTCAACAAATACATACATTGCATAGCCTTTTTATAGAGATAGTCAGAGGTTGTTGTAAAACTCACTACTGTCAAATAGGGTGACTAAGTATTTAAAGTTCAATGTCAACAGGATGGTCATTAATGCAGATTACCATCTCCTTAGTTTTACTGGCATTTATGACTAGAGCACTGTTTGAACACCAGCTAATTAATTTGGCAATATGATTAAAATATGCTCTCTTCCCACCCTTCTCTCCTTCAGGCATTAAACCAACCAAAGCCATATCATCCACGTACTTATATAAATAGGAAGTGGAGTCCTGGATCGTCATCTCGTTGGTATAGATAGCAAACAGTACGGGTGATAAGACGCAGCCCTGGGGTGCACCTGTATTTACAACAAGTTGCTCTGAACTAATGCCATTCAAAGACACTCTCTGGCGCCGTTGGGAAAGAAAGTCCTTAATCCATAAAGTAAGCCAGCCGTTGACACCAAGGTCAGATAGCCTCTGCAAAAACAAAACTCTGGTGTAACTTTTAGACATCTGCAGAGTGTTAACTAATGCAAGAGTTGCATCCTTAGTGCTCTGACCACACCTATGAGCAAATTGAAGTGGGTCAAGGTGGTTCCCAACAGACAACATCAGACGAGTCACTATGACTCTCTCCATACACTTGACAGGGCAGATGGCCTTAATAAATCCACACAGTTCCTTGGCAGTCGAGAATCAAAGACTCCAACCCGAGTCTGCAATGTCAGCTGGAGTTCCCATGTGTACACAAGCCAGCTTTGTCTTTCACCAATTTAGTCCAAGACTTCCAGGGATCACCAGAAGTGTGAGGTAGAGTGCAATCCAAATCGCTAAAAGTTCTATATTTACTTTTACTAACTAAAAACTCCAGGTAACAAGACAAAAAAGTTGGCAGAAAATGCAAATTCAGATAAGAATTCAGAGTACGGGGCCAGGTGCTTGGTACACTATAACAAAAAGAATTGGCTGCAGTGATTTCCAACTTGGGTGTGAAAGAGTCATCACTGGTCAGATTTGGTAGGGGCCCAGAGAAAACAACATTCCAACATTGTTCTGACATTGATCTTGGGTCAGATCGAGCCTAGATTTGTTCCCGTCTGTTTTATTTATAGTTTTTAACACACTTCCTGTCAGTCCTCATTCGCCATAGCCTAGCCTAGCTCCTTTTGAGAGTTGAGAACTGAACAGTACAGCAATAATGTTTTATGAATGATCTTTTTCTTTAACGCCACTCACCGTGTTTTTCTGTGCCTGTCTTCCCTTCTTCAGCCCTGGAGCCCAGTGAGGAACCCCCCTCCTGTGATATTGTTCTTGACACTGGTGTCTCCACCTCCTCCACCCCCCAGCCCTCCTCCTCCCCAACTGACGCCTCAATGGACCTGACCTGCAGGCCTCGAGCGAAACGTAAAGCCACCAAGCCTCTGGTTAACAGTTTGACAGTCGGCAGTGGGGGGGTCCCAGCCCCTGAGGCTGCTCGCAGTGACCTTGGAAGGAGCCTTAGAGATGGTGCTCTAAAACCAGAGATCCAGACAGATGATACTACAGAAGATGAACTTCATTCCTCTCAGCTGTCAGCCCCTGTAGCCTCAGATGAGTCCAGCCCTGATCGCCTCAACAGCCTGGACCTGGCTTGGATGCAGGAGAGGGTCAGCCATCTTGGTGCAGCGTATGCAGTAGCACAACTGGGTATAGGGAACTCAGAAACTGGCCACCCCTCTGCCTCCTTCGCCTCGCAGGGAGGAGGAGACAGTCTAGATGGCCCCCCAACCATGCTCTTTACAAGTGGCGCTCATGAAATGGCTGCTTTTGCTGCCTCTTTCGACATGGCCGCAGCCGCCGCTGCTGCTGTTGTTGCTGCACCACCTCTTCCACCTGCTCCTCCTACAGCTACATCTGCCACCACTACCAGCCAGAGGCGGCCTTACAGGAGCGGTGCTGCTGCTGCTGCTGCTAAAGAACCTGTGGTGTGTGCTGTGTGCGGGCGTGTCTTTCCCAGTGCAGCCGCCCTGGAGCTGCACCAACGGGTACACACAGGGGAGAGACCCTACACCTGCCCCCACTGTGGAAAGGGCTTTGCCCAGCCCAACAACCTGCGGGTCCACCTCCTCATCCACACCGGGGAGAGGCGTTATCGATGTACGCTGTGCGGGAAGAGTTTCATCTCGTCCAGCCACCTGAAGAGGCACCGCACAGTCCACACGCAGGAGAAGCCCTACAGCTGCTCACGCTGTGGACAGTCCTTCAGCCAAATGTGTAGCGTTCGCAGACACCGTCAGCAGTCCCAGTGTGGCCTGTAGGCTGACTGCTGGATGAGGTGGAACCTGGCATCTGGAGGTAATCCTTGTGTAGTTTGGACTCTGAAGGGTGAATGATTGAAATCTCTTCATATGGGAATTCTAGCATCTAATGTAAGCACGAACAAATTAGAAGCAAGGCTGTATCCTGGCACACAGTTGCTATTTGTTCTAGATCAAAGCAGTAATATGGGATTTTTGTTTTTAGGTTGATTTCCACTAAAGTCCCCTCAACCTTTTCTTACTCCTTGCTTCAAACTGAGAGAGGATCCCAGAGTGGACTGTAAAAGACTGCCGGAGACGGTGTTGATGACACTTAATCCATCTATTTGTTATCAAATGATCTTGTTTGTGACCGACTATCTGGTTTCTATAGCTAACACACATGATCCAGTGGGAGAGGGTCATGGCACAGCCATAATCAGTGTACCTGGACTGTCCATTGACCATCCTGTGAAATAGAATGAACAGAACCATATTTTGTGCACCCAACAGCTCTCTAGTATTAGTATTAAATAATAACTTCTGTGACTTCTAAAACCAGATTCACATTTTCAGACACTGTTTGTTTTAGGACTGCTGGCACTACAAGATTTAATTTCTCACTCAGCAAAGTGTCGATATGAAAAGATAGCATGTTGCCTCAGTAGAGTTCCCTGGAAGCAGGGGGAACCTGCTAGCTTAGTTAGCCTAGCTAAGTAAAAAGGGAAACCGCTACACATTCCAACAACTCCAAAACTGTCTTACTAAAATGTTTTATGTAGTCAACATACTTTATGTAGTAATGAAAAAGTAGAAGCAGGTTTCTGAGATGAACAGTGACCTGTTAGGAAAGTCGTGCAACTCGGCAGCCATCTTGGCAACGCCTCCGGGCAGCTATTTCGGACTAACAAGACCAGGCTCCTATCTGAATGAATGGGGAGATAGCCAGAACTGCAGTTTTACTGGTCACTGGGACATAAAAACTACATAAACAGAATCAGCATTAAAATCTGAAATATGTTTCCCGCTTTGTGCTGTTAAAAGCAGACTACTGGCTTTCTAGCGGGAGGGGTGGGATAACCGCTATCTTTGCCGTTACGGGCTTTCCCCATAGAGTTGTATTGAGGATGTGATTGAGTGGCATGTCTCCTCTAAATTGTCTCTGACAGTGAAACACTGCATTTTAAAGTGCAATCTTCATAATACGGTTGACATTCTTAATCACCGTCTTTACTGCCAATGAACCCAACCTTGAAATGTCAGTGTTTCCCAGACATGGATTTATTTGTGGCGGCCTGCCACAATATCAATACTGACCGCCCCATATTGGATTTTTTTTTTTACTATGTAAAATGGGTAAACTCATACTTCACACTAGAGCTGCGCGCAGTGCAGATATTCGCTCAGCAACCCCTCTCTCTCTCTCTAACACCGTAGCCACTTTCATAGAGATCCCATAAATGCAGAAAAAAAACCCTGCCATTATGCCACATTTGTTCATTCATATGTTTGCGGTATAATCCTGCAGCCATGTGTGCTTTCCCATGGTGATCCGGCTTTTTGAAGCCAGCATTCAACACTGTAATCCAACCAGGCAGTCTGAAAGCAAACATATAGAGCTGAGGGTGGGCTGAATATAGCCTGACTGCTGAACCACCTAGTGGCTAGCCACCTGAGAGGGCACACACCTGTCACTCAAAGCGGCCTGCCCTTAATTAAGCATAACTTTAAGCCTTGATATAATTTAGAGGGTTGAGATATATACAGTGCATCTGGAAAGTATTCACAGTGCTTGACTTTTTCCACATTTTGTTATGTTACAGCCTTATTCCAAAATGGACGAATTTCCTTCAAAATTCTACAAACAATACCCCATAATGATAACATGAAAGAAGTTTGTTCGAAATCTCTGCAAATTAAAAATAAAACGAAAAAAGCGGATGTACATAAGTATTCACAGACTTTGTTGAAGTACCTTTGACACCAATTATAGCCTCAAGTCTTTTTGAGAATAATGCTACAAGCTAGTCACACCTATTTTTGGGCAGTTTCTCCCGTTCTTCTTTGCAGGACGTCTCAAGCTCTATCAGGTTGGATGGGGAGTGTCTGTGCACAGCGATTTTCACATCTCTCCAGAGATGTTTAATTGCGTTGAAGTCTGGGCTCTGGCTGGGCCCCTCAAGGACAATCACAGACTTGTCCTGTAGCCACTCTTTTGTTATCTTGGATTTGTGCTTAGGGTCATTGTCCTGTTGGAAGATGAACCTTCGCCCCAGTCTGCTCTGGAGGTCCAGAGCACTCTGGAGCAGGTTTTCATCAAGGATGTCTCTGTACATTGCTGCATTCATCTTTCCCTCATCTTGATCTGACAAGTTATGTATCGTATTGACCAGGTGATGAGCAGCGCCTGGTTTCCTCCAGACATGACGCTTACCATTCAGGCCAAAGAGTCAATTAATCTTCAATCTTTGTTTCATCAGACCAGAGAATTTTGTTTCTCATTATCTGAGAGCAAACTCCAGACGGACTGTCATGTGCCTTTTACTGAGTGAGGAGTGACTTCCGTCTGGCCACTTTACCATACAGGCCTGATTGGTGGAGTGCTGCAGAGATGGTTCTCCTCTCTACACAGAGCTCTGTCAGAGTGTTCTTGGTCACCTCCCTGACTAAGGCTATGCTACCCCGATCTCTGTTTGGCCAGGCGCCCAGCTCTAGGAAGGGTCCTGGTTAGGGATCAAAACCCGAAAATGTGTGATCTTATCGATACTGCTATCGAGACTAGCGGGTCCTACAACGTAACGTTATGTCTCGAGAGTCAAATCTGATTTAACTTGGCATGACGGTATATCGGTATAATGAGGTATACATATATAATTTCAAAAGAGCGTTTATACCGTATAGTTTAATGTTGAGTTAATTATGTTTCCGTAACATCTTGCCAGCGTTTGCTCATCTTTCTCCCTCACCGCGCAGCCCCGTCCCTCCCTCCGTCTACTCAAACTCTTTAACACCATGGAGGGAGACAGTGCCGGAAGACCTGGCTTGTGAAAAGAAAAACGGTTCAGTCCATACACATACACTTTACTTCAGCGGGTCCCGCAGGTATATTAATGACCACCCAGGTGTATTTGGCGACACATTGTAGCATTTTTCAGAGAAACAGAGTTATTACGTAAATAAGTCGTGGCCGACACAATGTACCATAAAATTTTAATTAATTGCTGAGTCGCCTAGCCCGTTTCCTGGCCTGGTGTGGGAACACATTTTGACAAATAAACGCAGGTCCCCATTAAACGCCTGGTCTGGCTTTTATAGAAGTTCTTTGGATGTATAAAACCTCTTAAACCCCGTGGGGTCACCCGCTTTAGCTGCTTAAATCGTTAATACAAATATTAATGTTTAAAGGTATTATCAATAGCCTATTTCAGTATGAACATCGTTACATCGGTTAGATTCTGCACAATTCAACAGTTAATTTAATGGAAACAAGTCCCAAAGTCTAATTCTTATAGATTTACCTGTGTAACCAGCATGGTACAAGAGATTTACAAAAAGAACTCCCGTTACCTATGAAGCACTCGTTAAGTCCAAATGTGTCCGTTCCTTGATTATCATCTTCCTTTAGTCTGGAAGGGTCCACCCATCAAAAGAATCAAAACAGCTTTTCAGAAAAATTTATCTAAGTTGTGAATCTTGTCATGTGAAGTCCATCGCTCTCTGTCTACTAACTTGTCTCATCCTGCTCCATGTTGTTGTTTGTTATGTTGCTGCCTTCAAAATAAAAGTGCATAAGCAGTCTGTAGGAGCTAGATCAAATGAATGACTTGTATTTGATCATTTTTATACAAGTAATATTCTGTTTAAAATAAACTGTTTCTTAGTAGCCTATTTCAGTTTTGTGCAGGAATTAAAGGCCCCTCCCATATGGACTCCTGTCCAAAATATAGGCAGGGTCAATTCAGTGATTTTAGCAAATAATAGCCTAGGCTATTAATCAAAGTTTTACGGTATGTTTTACAAGCGCGGACCAGGTAGAGCGACAGTGAACACACCAGTCAGATGTCATTTGTTAGCTACCACGTAAGTTTTGTTTTGAAAGGCTACATCGTCAACATGCCTCCTCAACATGCAGCGCAGCTGCTGCTGTGAACGGAATCGTGGGTGGAAAAGTCCAGAAGAGAAGTTCTGGTTTTTTTTGTTTTTTTCCCCCTGGCGACTTGATATAACGTAGCTTACTACTGATGGAAAAAGTCACCAGAGCAAACATACAGGGAGAGAGAGCCGGAAAGAAGCGGGGCACGCTGACGTATTTGCAGCAGAGGTATGTTAGGTCTGTGAGTGTTAAGAGAACTGAAGGAGACGGATTCAATCAAGGGAGTGAAACAAGCTACTACAAATAGTAGAAACATGCCGGCTGACTGAGTTTTTCATTCGATCTAAACATCACTCAGTATTGTGGTGTCAGATATTGAGTTTATAGTGACTTTGCTGTTGTAAACAGTGTTGCTGCTCTAGAAACAACATTTAGTTGTATTTAAAATATTCAGTTTTAATCCTATAATTAATAGAAAAACAACCAGGCAACTAATATGCACACTTCAGTATTAGTTTATTTATTGCAAGTCATATGTCATCTCAATCTAAAACAATGTTATCGCACATTGAATATTTTCCTCATGCCTTGCAGGCCTAGCTCATGCCCGTTGGGACTCGGATCGTTAAGCGGTCTCAATAATGGTCAGTATCAGTATCAATAAAAATTAACAATCCCCATCCCTAGTCCTTGTTGTTCCAACCTTTACAGATGATGGAGGCCACTGTGCTCAGTGGGACCTTAAATGCTGCAGAAATTTTTCTGTACCCTTCCCCAGATCTGTGCCTCGATACAATCCTGTCTCAGAGGTCTACAGACAATTCCTTGGACTTGGCTTGCTTTGTGCTCTGACAACTTAACTGTGGGATCTTTATATAGACAGGTGTGTGCCTTTCCAAATCATGTCCAATCAACTGAATTTACCACAGGTGAACACAAATCAAGTTGTAGGAACATCTCAAGGATGATCAGTGGAAACAGGATGCACCTGAGCTCAATTTTGAGTGTCACGGCAAAGGCTGTGAATACTTATGTACTTGTGTTCTTTTTGTTTTTTATTTTTAATACATTTGCAAAGATTACAAACAAACTTCTTTCACATTGTCATTTTAGAGTATTGTTTGTAGAATTTTAGGAAAATAATGAATCTCATCCATTTTGAAATAAGGCTATGTGACTACTTTCTGGATGCATTGTAAAAGTTCACCCACCACACAGCTGAGTCATAAAGGGGGAAACTGGCTGTTGAGATGTATTGTACCAGGCTGTAACATGTTTATTTCTGCTGTAAAGTTGGACCTAACATGGAGGTCTATGGGGATTGACTCGCTTTTGAAGCCAGCCTCAAGTGGCACTTCCGCGTTGGCTTAATTTTTTAGCCCAGATGTTGCTACTCGGATACAACATAAAGATAGAACAGGTTTTGACTTCTTGCACTTGTCTTTTTATGATGGAGCTAGCTAACAAGCTAACTGCTTCCGCCTGACTGTAGTCTTTGTGTTAAACTAGACTAACCACGCCTGGACCTGGTCTCTGAACTGTATGGTCAGAAATGGTGTGTCCAACACTTCATTTAAAGCACTTTAAATTTTCCCATAACTCTATATCAAAGTCGTGGGCAAAATTTGGATGCAGTGCTGATACACAATTTGTTTTTCCTGATGTATTTATCACACATCATCCACTGTTAATTTTATAATAAATGCTTGTTTATTTGACAGGGACAAATGCATGAGACATTGCTTCATAAAATACACAGAGTAGATGCCATGCATACAGGTTTCTAGTCATGACTAATTTTCAACCCTTGTCCTTGGTTAGGCTTATGTTACTTATATTGCTACAGTATCATTAATGATTCTCAAGGCACCCTAGTGTTGGATAGTAAATGTTGGCACTTTACATCTTGTAGTGCAGGCCTGCACCTTCTTGTTCATGATTACATCTGTCACACTGATTGTCAGAACATTTATTCACTCGTCATTTCTCAAGAATATTGGGGAAGATGTAATATGCTGTTGTCCAGAAGATTACCTCTAGGTTTATTTCCAGAATTGGGCTGTGAAACCTGAATATATTATTTTTTTAAGGTAAAAGCTTAATTGTTGCAGGCCTGCAATGTTTTAACCTCCCTTCCTCAACTTTTTACAGGTTGAAACCTGAGGTGTAACTAAAATTTTTTTAAATGTCAATCATACAATTCAAGGACTGCAAAAAGGACTGTAAAAAGATGTTAAGTAAAAACATATATCAGAGCGTCGTGTTTGTATGTGTAGGTGTTTGGATGTAATTGGCACTAGCTGTAGGTTGCACAGCTAAAACAAATATTTTGCCTTTTAGTATTATTTCATGAAATGTTCCAGTGTTTTAAAATCTATGGGTATCATTAAACATGTAAATGGTTTGCAATGAAGTTGGTCCTGTTATAAGTGTCTATTAGCTATTTCGGGCATTGAAACTGAAGGGATTTTTAGGGCCCGATCACGAACCATGCAAGGTCTCTATTGAAACTGGAGGGATTTTTTTTTTCTTTTTTCTGCAAGATAAGCTCATTTTTGGCGGCCTAAAAATGCTCGAAAACTCAGCAAACTTAGCACACATGTCAGAAGTGGCAAAAATTACGTATGTTATGGGTCCTGCACATGGACGTGGTTAAATGGCTCGCTAGTGCCACCTACAAAACTGGAAAAAATTAGCCACTCAGACACATTCAACCTACATGCACAGAATCTTTGGGGGACATGTATCATATCAAGACACAAAAAAGCTTCAAGGACCCATACCCTTAATACAACAGGAAGTCCGCCATTTTGAACTGAAAGTGCAATTTTAACCATTTACAGGGTGCATACTTTAACAAACTCCTCCTAGAGTCGATCCAAAATTGATGATTCGCCATAAAACAGGGAGTTATTGTTACTTCAGTCTACATGTTCACATCTGCACCAAATTTGGAATACATTATAAGAGCCCCGCACTGAACACATCCATATGCCATTATTCACTCAAAGTCATAGCGCCACCTGCTTGCAAATGGAAATGACATGTTTTATGCTGTAATGTACTACTCCGAGCAGGTTGGACATATCATATCAACACATTGATGAAGCCATGTTGCAAAACTTGTGAGTTTGCAGTTAACGGCGTGGCAGTGGCATGGCGGCAAAGTTAAAGTCTTTGCCATGAAACAGGAAGTTGTTGTAACTTCAGTGTACATGCTCACATCTGCACAAAACTTTACATCTTTTTATTTTACATACAAAGTGTTATTTACACATTTGTGGAACCATTTATACACACAAAACAGTTTTTGCACATTTGCGGATCACTTCCTGTCAATTTGCAAGTCACGTTACATTTGTGACTTCCTTTTTACGCATTTGTGGAATTTTGTCCAATCTGTCCCGTCGAGATCTGTAAAAAGATATTTGTAAGTTTAAAAGCAGTTTATTAGTTACACCAGCAGGGGGCGATAGCTACATTGCCTCCCATGAGTTTACAGGATATTCACTACACTACTAGCGTCATGCTCATCTATAGGAGACAACAAGCAAAAGGACTGTAGCCCGGTTTATGGTTTCAACTCGTGAACAGCTCGTGATTCAGGATCTGGTTCATCCTTTTCCTGTCCAGGTAAGTCTGCTGTGCAGTTTGCCAACTTTGTGTCACCTGTGGTAAGTTTGACCACGTTATGTAACAAGCTCACATTAAATTATTTAGTTCACTTCAAGAGATTTTATGGTTTTCACAATAATTGGTCATTACCGCTACAACTGGAATTAGCCTACCCATCACTGTCAGGTGATCAGTAAACATTTAGCTTCCACAGAGATGGAATCAGGAGGCTAGGACAGTTGGCCTGATCAGTGCAAAAAGAGAATTAACCTAGTGACAGTAAACCATAATGTCACTGCACTGTGTTTCTGTTTTATGATTACGGGGTTGATGTGATGAGGATTTCCACAATATATCATTGAGCCTTTCCCTTTCTTTCTCCCCATTTCCTAACCAGCACCTGTATCTTGTCCAGACATACAAAAAAGCCTCTAGGAGCCATTGCTTAAACTCAACAGGAAGTCGGCCATTTTGGATTTAATGGTAATTTTTGGCGATTTGCCGATTTACACACTCCGTACTTTAACTCCTTCTCCTAGGGATTTAGTCTAATCGACTTCAAATTTTCGCTGTGCAGTCTAAACCCATTGATGATTTATAGTTGTACAAATGGTTAGTATCAGTCGACTGTTTGCCCATGGCATGCTGTCAAAAATCGATAATTTGCCATGAAACAGGAAGTTGTTATAACTTCAGTATGTATGCTCACATCTGCATCAAATTTTAATTGTATTGTAAGAATCCTGCCCTGAACACATGCATATGTCAATATTCACTCAGTCATAGGGCCACCTGCTGGCAACAGGAAATGACTTATCTTATGCTGTAATATACTACTCCGAGCAGGTCCGACATATCAACTTTAAAACTGTCCCAGAAAACCCTTAACACATTGGTGAAGCCATGTTGTAAAATGTGTGAGTTTTCGGTTAACGTTGTGGCAGTGGCGCGGTGGCGAAGTTCCACGCCTCGCCATGACACAGGTAGTTGTTGTAACTTGACTGTATATGCTTAGTTCTGTACCAAATTTTACACATTTAAGAGTCCTGCCCTGAACACATGTGCATGCCGACATTCACCCATAGTCATAGTGCCACCTGCTGGCAACAGGAAGTGGCCTTTAACAAAGTAGCCCCAGCGGCACATTTCACCTACTGTACATGTATGAAATTCCTGTGGCACATGTATCATGTCCAGACGTACCAAAAAGCCAAGTGGAGCGATGCTCTAAACCCAACAGGAAGTCGGCCATTTTGGGATGATTTCCACACTCCGTACTTTAACGAACTCCTTCTAGAAAATTTGTCCAAAATCGATCATTCGCCTTGAAAGGGGAAGTTTTGTAACTTCAGTGCTGACGTCAAATTATTAGGCTGTAACATCAACCAGAGCATTCAGCACTGATCTGTTTCATGTTATAATAATATTGCCCATGTAGTCTGCACATGTCATTCCAACAGAGTCCTGTGATGACAGTTTTATTTGGGGCTATATGAGATAAATATTACTGTGCCTTTTCGTAAAGGGGCTGATGATAAAATGTCCATCTCATCAAGCTGAGAGCTGAAATGATCTCCTGTTGACAGACAAAAGGCACACCGCCAGTTACTTTAAGTTACTGTATTTCTGTATAGTGCATGATTAGGCTGCTGTAATCTGATTGTTTTCAACAGATGCTATGCTGTTTATTGGAACCTTGAGATGTTTCTATGTGTTATAATTTTGACAGACATGTTTCTGGATTGTGAAGATATGATCTGTATGTAGCCTTTAGTGCCTAAAGCTGGTCTGTTGCTCTGACAGAGATCACAGTTCAAACTGATGATGCAGCTGTGCAACAGGTCATCTTTAATTGACATCGCTTTAAAATGACGGCTCCGAGGAAAGGACATCTCGGCTGCGGTCAAAGTATTTTTTGCTTAGGACGGTTCCTAACTGAGTGAAGTATTTCAGTGGTAGCCATATAAGAGCTGTTTGAATTCTATAGAAGCTAAGGAAAGGTGCCTCAATGCTTCCTTTCATATCTCCTGTAGTATAGGGTACACTGGACCATCCTTTACGAAAGGAAAGGAGGTAAAGCCGTCCGGCAACAGCATTTAAAGCAACGCACGTTCTCAAACTCAAATGATAAAATCAGTTGACCACATACAAAATCCTTGCAATAAAGACGCACATTATGATACTTGAATAAGACTCTCACAGTTTCCTTTTTTCTGTGGTTTTGTTTTCTTTTGGCTTTGCTGTAATCTGATACTGTTTCGGATTGTTGAAATAGGCTAGAAAGTGTTTTCTACAATAAAAAAGAAATCACTGACCATGACAGAAGAAGTTCACCATGTAAGTTACCACTGGCTATTAAATCTTTTCTCTTATGCCAGAACTTGCTATATGCATAGGCATATGTCTTGAACTGTCAACAATGACTGAGACCCATGCAAGCTATGTTACTGGTCTTGTAACATGATCAAAGTGAGAATAATGTTACAGCTTGTAGGTTCACATGTATTTCCAGCCTCCAGACATATCATTAATTAATGGTCCTTCAGTTACAGATGCTGACACCCTCGCCTTAATAAAGGCAATGATCAAGCTGGATAACCTCTACAGTAGGCGTTTCCTTACACATTGAATTATTTGTGATTATCGATTTTTTATGATTTAAAATGGTTAAAATCGTGTTTGATTACAGAGCTCCGTGCAGCGCATATATTCATTCAGCAACTCCTCTCGCTCCGTCGCTCCCCCCCCCCCCCCCCTCTCTCTCTCGCTACAGTTACTCTCTCATTCTATGGGATACACTGTTTACATACAATAAACAACCCCATGTTGATAAATATGGATGGGCAGGAGGGTGAGTGTGAGCAAGCAGGAGGGTGAGTGTGAGCAAGCATTCTCAATGTGACAACCCCTTCCATTATTTGGTGACTGGTACCTAAATGCCTTTTTGCTATCTTGATTATGAAGTGATATTCCACCGTGTTCTCCACCTGTAGATGGCCTGCATTACAACAATATGGGGCGCAGTGTCAAAGATGCGCTTTTTGTAGTCCATCTTCTGAACTTTGTAGTTTCATCAAGGCAAGTCACGTCAGTAACATCCGCCGTAGCATAATTACGTCGCTTAGAAAAGAGCAGAGCTCCGCCGTCCTCTTTTCCTAAGGCCTTTTGGATTGTCCTTTACATCTTTCCTTCACCTCATGACGTTTTCCGTCGAGGTCAAGGAAAGGAGGTTAGGAAAGGAGATTTTTTTGACTTTTCGACCGCAGCCTCTGTTTACAAACTTGTGGCAGCTGATTGGGTAACACCCGTGACACGCCCACCAAATGGGAGAAACATACCCCGAAGCCCGTTGCGGAACTTTGCAACAGCGTTTCAAGGAAACTGTTGCAAAACGTTTTGAGATTGAACTTACCCCTGTACTTCTGTCAAGCTTGTGGAATCGGAAATGACGCAACGTGTTTGCGTTGGGAGCTTGTGGACAGAGGAGAAGCTACTTTAGCTTAGCCGTCTTTTACCTGCTGAACATTTCTACGCGCAGAATTTCCACTTTTTCTGTAATGGTTTGACCAAACCGCCAACATATTATCCTAATAATAGGAAGAGGAGTTAAACGGTATTTCACAGCGAGCCACCGACTGTAGGAACAATGTCTAGCCGTCTGGCCTTCCAGACCCAGCTGGCCTCCATCATGGAGGTCCTGGCTAATGCAGCAGTGGCGGAGATCTGTAAGCTGGTGGACGACGACTACGCTGTGGTGAGTTTACAGATGTCTCAGTGCCAGAGAGAGAACAAAGCCCTGAAGAGGAAGCTGCATCTGCTGGAGCTAAAGATGGCCCGGGGAAACGCTGAGAGGAGGCTCCGGGAGAGCAGTAACAGCAGCCGACCAAGGGTGCAGATAAACACAGGCGACAGGCTCCGGGAGGCCTCGCCTGCCGCCGGTAAGAGGACGGCAAAAAAATGCACAACACTTAAGTCTAAAACCACGTCAGGCTTTTCATTCAAACACACGCATTGTAAAACTATTACATATCTTGTTCAGCTAGGGAGTATAATCACAGCATAATCACATAAATGGACAAAATAAAAAAATATTATCACACAGTACTATTACGGTCTATATGTAAAGCGCAAAGAGATAACAATTGTGAATTGGCGCTATCCAAATAAAATTGGATTGAATTAAATAAACATAAGTTACCAGCTGTAACCAGGGGCACCCCCAGAAAATTTTCCCAGGGGTGGCCAGATGGTGCCACTGAAAATCCTGTGTTGGCACACTAAACCAAAAGCTATAACTGAATTTCAGGAATTCTATTATGCAGTATATAGACTAGTTGAATACTTCATAAAAATATGAGTTAAGGAATCACAATTAGTTTACCAGTTCGGTTAGCATTCCATAAAAATCCTGTTTGATGTGTTATCTGTATGTGTTAGGCAATTAGTTGTTCTTTAAATAGGCAAGTTAACCTTTTCCTTAAAGACAAATCTTTTAAAGCTTTTATTTGTAGGAGTGCATTCACTGGGAGGAACTTTTTTCTTTCTTTTTTCTGCAAAGTAACCTCAAGTTTGGGGGCCTAAACATACTTGAAAACTCACCAAACTATGCACAAAATTGAGGAGTGGCAAAAAATTTCATATTTTATGGGTTTCGCGCATGGGCGTGGCAAAATGGCCCCCTACAGAGCAGCCCGCAGACAAAGTTTAGCCTACATGTACGAAATTTCTGTGGTACATGTATCATGTCCAGATGTACTTTTTTATTAAATGGCTGTCAGCAGGAGAGAGAGCACATTATGTTTGAACTAAAATTTTAGTTTATTTTTTTTATATTTAGGATGTATTTAATAAACGATTAAACATGTTAACAGTCAGTGTTTCCTCTAAATGCATTCAGGAGCGGCACAGCGCCGCTGCTGAATCACGACCACCGCTACTAAAATTTCCCACGATCATTAAACTACGCTACAAATGTTTTCAGTTGCACACCGTGCGAGCACGGCAGTACTCAACGCTTGGCTCACTTCGTCTTCTCATTCTGTGCAGAACACACGTGACAGATGGTTGTATAAGAGCAGCCTAACTGAATCAGGAGGTGTGTAGCGAGTGTTTGATTGTCCGAGCAGCAGAAAGTGACGGTGAACGCAAGCGGAGGAAAATATTCTGGCAGTAAATGTACGGTGTCTGTTACAGTGTGTTCGCTTCTCAAGACCAAGAAAAGTCTGTTGTTTCCCACCTGCTGGAAAAGTGAAGCCGGATAGCGCTAAGTTAGCTAACATCTCCCCTTCAGACTGCGCAGCTTGAGCAGGAAAACTTCTACAGCAGCTACAGAGCTGCTATGTAACTTAACATTAGCTCAATTTATAGAAAGCAACTGGAAGCTGTATTTTATTACTGCCTACTTGTCCAATGTTGAGAATATCAGGTACAAACTTAGACTAAAATGACGTAGCCTGCAACTCCTGCAATGTCCTGTACAGACTAATTCAATTATTTTTCAGTTTTCAGTCTGAAAAAGTGGTTTTGGAAAAGAAAGGACGGAGGTGACTGGAGGAGCTGAGGTTAGTGAAGCTAATTAGTGATGCAAACTAGTCCTTTGAAGCTAATGAGGAGACGTTTCTTTTTGGATTTTAATGTGCAAATAAAATGCACCTCAGAAGGGAGGAGGTTTCTCATGCTGCCTATTTTTTATATTAATGTCTACAGATAAATGTCAGAAGCTGTAAAATGAAGACACAAAAGACAAACATGAACAATCGTATCTATATAATGATTCTGAGGTCATATTAACAGGGTTTTCCTGCCATTAAGGCTTAGGGTGATGCCCAAAACATGCTCCGCCATAAATGTAAAATCACTGTGGAGCAACAGAACCAACCAAATTACTTTCTCCAGATCTAAAGGTTGTAGTTCCTCCAGTAGACTGATCTTTGGCTGTTGGTTATTTACTATCTGCTCCAGCTTTTCCAACTCTTTGTTCAGAGATACGGTGAAAATAATGGCCCAATATGATGTGAAATTACATATTTTTCATTGGAAAACATAAAATGTTCTTGGGGGCACCCGCAACCCCCCCTGACCACCACCAAAACATTCATCTAAAGCTCACATTAAACTGGGAAAACACTGCAGTTCTAAGCTATTCTAAGGTGCATCGCATACTCATGGACACGAGCAATGTTGCTGAGACGTGTTGTGGTTTTATATTTAGACAAAAATTTTGCTTCACCTCCGCTGCTACAACTCCATCCTAGGAGAAACACTGACAGTATAACACATTTTATAAGTCTTTTGGTTTGACTGATAAATAACTTTTGAAGGAAGGGACAGTAAAAATCGTTTCAAACCCGCTGGGTGGGGCCATTTGAAAAAAAGTTTAATGTTGAACCCTGGCCCGCCAGCAATAATATCTGGCCTGCAGCCAGATTATGGTGATTTGATAGCAGCAAAAAATAAAAATAAATAAATGCTTTTATAGCGGTTCTGAAATAGATGTCAGTCATGGCAGCAACATTTACTCACATAATCCTTTCCTCTTTTTGGTTTTGCCTGCAAAATAAAAGCTCATGAAGCTTTTTTCTGTAATGCTTTATTTGGAATTGAATTGAGAGCTTTTACTAAAAATTCTGAATGACATTAAAAAGAGTTTTCCCTAAATGTCCTCTGCCTGGAGATACTGGGATATGTGAAAAGGTGTCCGTAGGTTGATGGATGTGGATCAAACACCCAAACACTGCAGCACATGCCGTAATGTGAGCCTGAGAAACTTCCAAAGAAAAGTTGCTGCAGAGGTGCGTAGGGTAGGGGGCTACGTACAGGCTACACCGTCGATTTGATGCAGAAGTATAAATTGCACTTAATTCCATTTGTCAATGATGGTTTTGTCCTGTTGAGTCCAGTATTGTAACATCAGCAGAACTAAGCAGTGGCACCTGGACTATATTTGTTCTCTCTTAGTGATTATGTTTCTATGCACACTTTCAACACACCCAATTTCAACTTAAAAATGGCCTAATGTGAATCATGCTTTAACATCACAAAACACATTTTTAGGGCCCGAGCACAAACCTTTCTAGGTCCCTATTGAAACTGAAGGGATCATTTTTCTGTTTTTTGCAAAGTAACTTCAATTTTGGGTGTCTTAACATACACAAACTCATCAAACTATGCACAAAATTCAGACGCGGCGAAATATTTAGTTTTTATGGGTTTTGTGCATGGGCGTGGCAAAATGGTTCGCTAGCGCCCCCTACAGAGCAGCCCCCGGACTAAGTTTCACTTACATGTATGAAATTTCTGTGGCACATGTCCAGACATACAAAAAAGCCTCTTTGAGCGATGCCCTAAACCCAACAGGAAGTCTGCCATTTTGGGATTTAATGGTCGTTTTTGGAGAAGGGTCCAGCTGCTGCCTGCAGACAAACCTGACGGAAGTTGAACTTCCATATATGGTTTGTCCCAGAAGCCACTGTGCACAAAACGTGTTGACGTTTATTTCGACTGCTCGGACCACGCATAGCTGTTAAATAATAAAAAAATGTTAAAAAAGAGGTGTCAACGTAGTAATCGGTGTATTAATATTTACTATACTATAATTATATATTATTAATATAGATATTTATACTACATCCCGCAAATATTTATTTATAATAGCCGAATGATAATAATAAAGTAATGTTTCAATTCATACCACTGTTGTATATTTTATTTCTTCCAAAGTGATTTTAAGTTTCACAAACCAAGAATATTCTGTAATGTTACATCACGAGCCAGATGTGCCTCGATTTAGGTTAAAACTTTACAACATTACTGAGAATTTAATGATAGAATAACAGCGTTACGAACTTTAACACTATCGTTCAGCTGTTGCTGGACACGTCTGCTGTGTTGGCTGCAGTGGTCTGTGTCACTGGGCCTGGGGGAGCTGACCGGAGCTAGCTGGCTAACTATTCCTGACAGCCCCCTGAGGCATATTCCTCTTACCCTTAACCATCACAGGGTGCGGGCCTAAAGTTATTGATTGTATGCATGTCGCCCGGTTAACCCTACAGCGGCGCACGTTGGCCGATATATAACACCCGTCGGCACTTGTGGAGCTTCTCAACTCCGAAAACGTTTGGACACATTTTCGATTCGCCGCCAATTTTCGTAAAAATGCCGGATATTCGAAATATTTTAAATACACTTAAAATCTAGAATTTTAAGTGTATTTAAAATTCTGTTGTTGGCTTCTAAAGAATAAAACGGCTTGCATTAGGATCTATCCTGTACGTGAGCCGAGATTAACGTCATCACGTTTGCGTGTGCGTTGTCTTCTGGGACAAACCATATTTGGAAGTTCAACTTCCATCAAGTCTGCGGGCTGCAGCTGGATTTACTTGCATTTTTGGCGATTTACACACTTTGTACTTTAACGAACTCCTCCTAGGGATTTTTATTCCGATAAACTTAAAATTTTTGCTGTGCGCTCTAAACCCATTGACTATATTAAAACGGTTATTACAAGTCGACCAGTTTGCCCGTAGCATATCATCAAAAATTGGTGATTCGCGATGAAACAGGAAGTTGTTATAACTTCAGTAGACATAATCACATCTGCACGTGTAACAATAGTCCCGTCCTGAACACATCCATATGCTAATATTCACTCAAAGTCATAGCACCACCTGCTGGCAACAGGAAGTGACACGTTTTACACTGTAATGTACTACTCTTAGCAGGTTGGACGTATCAACTTCAAAACTGTCCAAGAAAACCCATAACACATTGATGAGGCCATGTTGTAAAACTTGGTGGTGGCATCGCCATGACACAGGAAGTTGTTGTAACTTGACTGTACAAGCTCAGATCTGTACTAAATTTTACATGTTTAATAAGAGTCCCGCCCTGAAGACATATACATGCTGACATTCACCCACTGTCATAGCACCACCTGCTGGCAACAGGAAGTGACCTTTAACAAAGCAGCTCCCGCGGCACATTTGACCTACATGTATGAAATTTCTGTGGCACATGTATCATGTCCAGCCTTACCAAAAATCCTCTTGGAGCGATGCCCTAAACCCAACAGGAAGTAGGCCATTTTGAATTTTATTGTCATTTTTGGATGATTTACAGGCTTAGTAATTTAACGAACTCCTCCTACAGAATTAGTCTGACCGACTTCAGGTTGTCGCTGTCTGCTCTAAACCGGATGACGATTAAAAAAACGGTGAGTTTTTGTGGAACGACATGCTCGTGGCATGGCATCCAAAAATCGATGATTCTCCATGAAAAAGGAAGTTGCTGTAAGTTCAGTCTACATGCTCAAATCAGCACAAAACTTTACGTGCTTGATAAGTCACGCCCCGAACACATCTACATGCCAATATTCAGTTATAGTCATAGCACCGAGTGCTATGTAGCGCCACAAAGGGGACACAGGAAGTGATGATTTGTGCATCATCTGAAGCACGTGGCAAATTTACGGCAGAGCTCCAGAATCTGAAACGCGGCCGCCTCACACCTCAACGCGCTACACGTGCGAGGGCCCACCCAATGCTGCTTGCAGTTTTAATTACACTTGGCTTTGATGGAACAGTTGGTATATTACTAAAAAGAGACGGAAAGAAACAAAATTTTCAGTTACGCAATGATGCTACGACCTGTAGAGAGCACTTAGGCACGGCGAACATCAAAAGGTTTTTCATACCTTCTTCTTCATTTCTTCTCTATCCTGGTGAATAAACATATCCAACAGATACAGAGCAACATTAGCATTCGGATTGCTGTGGTTGTGTCCATTACACAGTAATAAAACAGTGCACATTCAGTATTTAAAATACTGATTAATATTCTTTATCAACAACATGCTTGGGTTTTTATTTAACTGTTTAATGGTGGGGTAAGACACATTTCCCATGTCTGCTCCCACTAGTGACAGTACAGACCATTGAAATGTGCACTGTCAGTGTTTCTACATAGACATTTTTCCGGTTTTTGTGTAGATGCTGTGTTTGAGCGACGGATGGATGTAGCTCTGTGGTCCGGTAGAGGGGCTGCAGCCTGTGAGCCGGTCCATACTGACTGCATCCAGAGTAAGGTGAGTACACCAAAGGGAGGACCGGGGACACCATGCTTTGAGCAGAAACAAATTGATGTTGAAAATCAGAGCACTGGGAACAAACATACAGGGACCGGTACATAGAAACATAACCTTAAGGAGTGACTTTGTGTTTGGTAGCTGTGTGAGTGCATCTTCTGTAGCTGCATGAATATGTGAAAAACCTTCCTTGTTTTGCAGTCTCCAGATGTGGAACTGGTAGAGCCAGAGGCAGTTCTGGTGAAGGAGGAGAATGTGGAGGCAAACATGTCACGAAGTGAAGAAACGGCGAGAGATGTGCCGCTTATAGGAGATGATGGTGAGTACAGACGAACTGCTGATGGACATTTATAACACTACCCTGTGTGTAACGCTGAATATTCAAAATCAGTACTGACCCACTGAGTGTCTGTAGCTTAAACAGTCAAGTGAAGTGACCCTGAAAATGTCGTCAAGGTTATCTGAGGTTGGGCTGGGAGGCTGTAAATGTAAGACGGAAGATCAGAAAGACAGCGTTACGAACTGTCGGTGTTTAGATGTATAGACATTTTGAAGCCTCAAGTTTGACATTTTGGCCTTCACCATCTTGGTTTTTTGGAAGTGACCATATTTAGGCGAAAGGGTGGAGCTGGGGAGGGATTGACAGGTCACCGTGGTAGCGTTTTGTCAATCACAAGGTCGTTTTCTGAAAATACACTACACTCATTCCTGTAGGTGTTAAAAGCCTATCAATGGCTTAACATTTATAATCCTTCAGCTTCCTGGTCAGCTTTAAAGTGAAACGAGTTTCATGGACGGTAACTCCATGCGATTGAATAAACAGCAAAGTAGAGGTGACAGGAAATAATCTGTGAGTGAAGCTCATACGTTTTTGAGTCAAATTCAAGTCTCACGTGGTTATAACGAATGTTGGATCACCTGCTGCGTTCAATCCAGGCTGCTTATAAAACTGCATGGCTAAAAGGGATTCTGTAACTGTAACCTGTTTTTTACTTACAGAGCACAACCATGTAATGTGCAATCAATGACAGCTTAAACTCCTGAAAGTCAACACACCACCAGACTCTCAAACCAGTGTAATATTAACTAAATAAAACTGTAAGGTTACATGATTAACAATAAACCTGTAACCTGTTTGCAGCCAACGGTAATAATTAACATCTTGGCTGCCAGCCGGATGTAAATAATTATGTTAATCGTCCACCACAAGTAAACAAACGCTCGTTCATCTTTTGATAACGAACAACATTTGGAGTTAACCTCCCGTAGGTTGTAGCTAAAGCAAGAGATGAAAGTAGATGGCCAACACTGAGCTAAACATGTTTATTAACCTCAGGTTACTAACCTATTTTGTGTTCAGCGCTTCTTTGGGTCTTGTTGTATGAAGTTTTAAATCCAAAGTTTATGATGAATGGCTCAGCAGCTGCCACTGTTTGTTGTCCTCTCTCATGTGTGGCCGCTCAGCTGATACTACCTGTTACGTGGGCAGGTTGTAGGTAACACAGGGAGGGGAATAACGGCAAGCTCATCAGACGTTTCCTAAAAATAAACATTGTTTACGAGTCCCGCACCTTGAGTCTCAAGTCACTGTGTGCGACTTAAGTCGGACTCGAGTCCGAATCTCAACCTCGGATGCTGTTTGTAGCTGTTAGCTACATATTATAACAGAGATTTTGCTGACATATCCTCTTGCTCCCAGACAGCCACATCTTCTCCTTTCTCCCCCATTCACGTTCTTGGAGTGCGTCTGAATGGGGTTGTTATTGGTTGCATTTGAAGCGAAGTTTTACATCCAATAAAAGTAAGGATGTTAAAAAATAAATCAGACAGTGCAAAAGCTATTTATTTTTATTCTCAAAGTTATGGTCTTGAAATAAAATCCCGCGTCTTCAATGTCTGAGACAGAGACAAGACAGAGTACAAATGCGGTCGAGTCCGAGACCAGACCGAGATCATCAAAAAGGGGTCTTAAGACCGGTCTCGAGACCAAGACCAGTCTTGAGTACTACAACACTACTTGGGACACAGAGCCAAATCATAAAGATGGACATTCCTGAGGAGCACGGCTAACTTTGCTGGGTGATTTTTAAAAATTGCTCTTATTACAGCAAATAAATGTATAGCACTATGTTAGAGGAATGAGAAACCCCCACTGATGACAAGGTGGATAGCAGAGTTGGCTTTTATGTATTCCGAATGAAAAGATAATGTGAAGGCCAAGAGAATTTAACAAAATTTGGGGTGGGTTCATATTGGACTCTTAGATACAAGAGACCTGCCGACCAGACCCCCATACAGTGGAAGTAATAGCTTGATCATTTTTTACATTTTTGTTTAATTATTTTAGTATTGCTATTATTTTAATTGTCTCTTTTTTTGTCTTAAGGCTTGCATTGGATGGGTACTATCTGATGTAGTTGCTTTTATGTGGCAGACTGACACGTTAGTAGTTGTAGTAGGCCCTGTGTGAAGTTACGGGAGGAGTGGGGGGGGGACATGTTTATTATCTGAACTGTAAAAACTGAATAATCAATAAATATAGTGTTAAAAAAGAGACTAGGTGTTATTGAGTTTTTTCTCCATTCTTTGCCCCACATTGTCTCTGTAAAGGAGTGGAGTGTGTCCCCCCCGTGGAGCTGCAGGACAGAGACCCAGCCTGGAACAGCAGGACACCCCGTCGCAGCCCCAGATCCAGAGCAGCAGGACGAGGCGTACCGGCAGCAGCAGAGGAGTGGAGGTCAGTTACTCCTCTCCTCTCCTTAAGTGTGAACTCAGTGCCTCACTGCAGGAAACAGTAAACCCACACCAGTATATCGATGATGGCAGCAATGACTCGCAGTTTCACATGTGTGACAACGATAAAAGCGATAAGTCATTGGTTGAAGAGTTTTTTGACAAGCAGTTGGGGGTTGAAGCGGAGGAAAGGAGGCCATCTTGTTCATACTTGATGGCAGCGGCTGATTTCCCATCAACCTCCTCCAGTATTAACGGCTGGACTCATTACAGCCCCGCTTTCCCCTTGTCCCAGCCCTTCAGTGACCAGCAGCAAGGTTCAGCAACGAACCGGAACCAAGGAAAGACTGTTTGTTTGCAGCTACTGTGGCAAGGCTTTTAACCGGCCCAAGAAGGTGGAGATCCACCAACGCGTCCACACCGGGGAGAAGCCTTTCAGCTGCTCCACATGTGGAAAGATGTTCTCTGAGGCCGGAAACCTGAGGAAACACCAGAGAGTTCACACCGGAGAGAAACCTTACAGCTGTGGGATGTGTGGCAGAGGGTTCGCCTGGATAAGAAACCTGAAAACACACCAGCAAAAGAGCCACCCTGAAGTTTATACTGAAGAGGAGGCCAGTGGAAAGACCTGAGTAGTCTTTGTACTGGAGGGTGTAGTGATCCAGCAACGACTCAGTGTTGGCAGTAGAAAAGGGCAATAAAAGGAAAATCATTTGTGCATAGGACCTTAAGAACTTTCTAAACACATTTTTGATTGTTTGACACATTAGTTAACAAGACGCGTGTTTTAAACATGACTTTACTTTCAATGGGAGAAGTTAGAATATGATGACTTGGAATGCTAGCATTTCTGCCTGTAGTCTCAACCAAAATGCTGAGGTGAAGCAGCCTTTGGACAGACAATTTGACTTATTTATAGCAAGTCTCTTCTTCAAAATGTCTCTCTACACGATGTTGTGGCCAAGGGAAGGTTTCAAACTGAAAAGTGGGGACTCTATTTTTTATTTTTTTTTGCGTACTTGCGTATAACCTGAATTGAAATATGTTGTTTCTTATACCCGTGGTTGGGTTGACCCTCCCAGGATGATAATGCACACAGCAGCTGGAGCTTTGCATTACAAAACATATTGAACTTTGATCAAAAAGGTGAGCCAAGAGGATACTCCTCACTTTAAAGTAAAAGGCTGTTCGTGTCACCAATGGCAGTCGGCCTTTGCGGTCAGGGACCCCCAGCTCTGGACTCCGTGTTTAAAGACCCAAGGATACAGAATCGGTTTAAGTCACTTCTCAAAACTTTTTTGCTTTCTTTAAAAAAAAAAATAATAATAATTTTTTTTTTTTTTATTGCTTGCCCACCGTTTTATTTCCAACATGTCTTATCTGTTTTATTATTATTTTTATTCTATGTTATTGTTAAACATTTTATTCCATTTAACTTTTGGGCCCGTTGTATCTATTGGGATTCTTTTTCTTCTTGTGCCCTAGAAATTTCTGGGTCTCAGAAACAGTAACAGCTACACTTCTGTCACCCACTACTCAGGCGAAAAGAATTGGACAGATGGTGGCGCTTCACATTTTCACCCACGACTTTTTAACCGTAAATCTCTGAAACACATTTTTTCCAGATTCTGTTCCACCTGGTGTGTCTCCTTATCTGGGAATACAAAACTCTGCTAAAACGGTTTGTGTAGCAAAGTCCATAGGACCTAGAAACAAAAAAAATTGGCAGGTGGGTTTCAAATTCCACCAACTACTCAGGCCCATATAATGACATTCAGTGACCTCAAGGTGATGTAATAATGTAGTTTACTTTTTCAGAATTAGGCGTTTGCTTGGCCTAGAGTGAAAATTTATTCATATCAAATAATCTGCATCTGGTTGTCTTCTCTAAAAATATCACATTTTTAGTTTGTTTTTTTTGTCAAAATCCTATTTTCAACATTGTGCAAGAATCCGCTGGGCCAATCGTCCCAAAATTAAGTTAGGATTATCTACAGACTTCACCAATCGGACGTTGGTAATGAAAAAGAAATGTTGACACATCAATCCGTTCCATACAAGCCAATCAGTTTTGTAAAAAATAGCAACAAATCAGTCATGTGAAGTCCTGTACATCTTCAAAGAGCATTAACATAGCATTGCATAGCATTAGCATTGACTACGACAATGAAAGAAAACAGAGTGTAGCTTCTTGTCAATTAAATAGAAACAAGCATCTAAATGTTGTAATCTGTAATTTCCTACTCCTGGCTAATATAGTTTTATTTTGATTGTCTGATTTTATTTGTCTCATTTCCTCCTGAAATGTTTTAATCCTTTTCCAACCATGTAAAGCACTTTGTTACTGTGTTCTGAAAAGTACTATATGAATAAAGTTTATTATTATTATAATTATATTATCTCATGTGCAGACTCAAAACCACAATGTGTCTTTAAAAACTCCTCATGAATATATGGTTTAATGGTTAAAAAGGCTCAGTAGTTTGATTAAAACTACATCATCTACTCATCAAACAGCAGGACAGCAGGAAATAGTGCATTTGTTGGGGACTGTTTTGGCATGTCACCCAGTCCAGGCTCAATGATGTGTTCAAATAGTTTCTGGACAACAGTGGAGCTCTATGGCTCAGAGGAAGAAGAGACATCAGGCTGTGAGACGCACACGACTCGTTAGGAGATACATTCACTGCTGGTCTGAGTCTGAACATGAGATTTGATGACAGAATATAACCAGACGTATAGACTCCTAGACTTAAAGTGGGACCCTCTTAAGGTGCTTTTAGGAAAGGGCCCCTGTTTACTTGTTGACCAAATTAAACTGTAATAACCAGGCTCCAAAGGTCTCTGTCCTGGAAACCGAGGTCATTGTGACTACAGTATACTGTATGGTATGCATCTGAACCACTCGGCCTCCGCAACACCCTGCTTCAGCTTTTACATTAAAATGATTACAGACATCTTTTCAGACAGCGTTTTAGAGCTTTAGGAACACATCTCTTTAAGTAAAGCTGCTGTGTAAGCTCAATCAAACAGTAATGCATACTTTTTCAGCCTCAATATTGTTACTAGTACCCGGGCTTTGGGTATCGGCCGATGCCTAGTACTGAACACCAGTGTAAAAAAAAACCTGCACTTCTCACTGTGTGGAAGAGACTGGGAATCATTCTTTCATCTGCTTGCACTGCTGATGCAATGCGTAGTACGTGCATAATTTAAATGGATAGATTGGCCCAGTGGATGGGCCCATTGATATTACATACCGATACCGATGTTCGATGTGCCTAAACCAAATCCCAGCGGAAATCAGGTTTTGGCTCAAAATGTGTTGGCACTTAAAGAGCCAAGCACATTTGCAAATTTAAAGACAAAATTTAACAAGCATCACTCAGGAAGCACTGACTGGTCTAACACACAATGGCACATTGTGGAAAAACTGGTTCCATTTCCAGTACATGTAGGATATTTTAGAATGTGCTTTGTCCAGTGATCTGTGTGTTGTTTTCTTGGGTTATATGATTGGAATAAGTTATGAGTAATTGTGTTGGAATTCTGTCTTCACCAGTATTCAGTAACTTACTGGGTCCTAAGATAGTATCTACGTACTCCTAGTAAATGTTTGAGAGCATTGTTAAGGAGTGGACTGTCATTCTAAATGTAACGCATTTCACATGTGTTTTATAATTGAAATATTTAACATTTTGTATTAAAGATTTCATTTATGGAATAAAATATACTTATTAAATTACTGAATTGTCATATTTAATTCCGTCATACAGTGTATTTATAAAGCATACTGTCAGACATTATGTCAAATGTATTTAAATAGGCCTCATTTTGTTTTCAACTCAGTGCTCCACTTTGTGTAAAACAGTAAACATTCTGCAACCTATTGTTAGACAACACAAGAAGAAGAGAGATTAAATGACAATTCAGTAATAACCATCAGTGCTCTCAGTCTAAGGCATGTTCAAATCAGTATTGAAAACATGTAAGATCTTTCAGCTCATTGTTTCTGTTTCCACAACTACTGTTGTGGTTCAGTCTCATGGCTCTTTTTCTTTCTCTGTTTGTCTCCAGCAGCAGCTGGAGCAGAGTAAACAGAGAGAATACTAGACTCATTCATCAGGTGACATAAAGACAACTCCATGTGAACCATCATGTTGCTCTAAAGCAGCGGATGGGCAAAAAATTAAAGTAATGCCACTACTGGTATATCTGTAATAAATAAAGAGGACCTCCACTTTTCATGTTAACAAGTTGGAGCAGCCACACAGCCTGTCTGAGCAGTTTTAGTTTTTCCCGCATAAATAGATCATCACAGCAACATTACACATTTGAGTTTTAATGTCTATATCTGTAGAATATGTCACAGACATGAAAAAAATATATATAATATATAAAGTGTTTGACTCAACAACACCTGTATCCGTTTCCAATCCAAGGCCTGTAGGTCTGTGGACAGAATCCATGCATTTGTTAACAAGGCGTGTATTGCATTTATCAAAGGCAAAGTGAGTGTAGACAGACAGGGCTGGCAGCGCCACAGGCATGTGGACAGTAGAGGCTATTCAGTCAATTTCACTAGTCATCATGTGACTGGGACAGGACAAGAAAAAAAGAACAATATGTCAGTTTTTATGTATACATTTGCATTTCTAGTCATTTCATTCGTTATACCGGGATTGAAACGGGACAGGAATTTCTTTTTTACTCTGTCATGGGATTGGAACGGGACAGGATGATTTTTTTATAGGAGCGGGATCGAACGGGAGTGAAAATCCAGGCAGAGGTACGCTGTGTGGCTCTAGCCTTATGGTGTCTCTCCAGATCATGTTATCGCGCTTCTTTTCAGTCATCAGTGGTGTGTGTGTCTGCAGTGCAGTAACAGCAGACATTTCCTTTCTTTTGTGTGCAGAAGGAAGAGGAGCCAGATGTGGTGTTGGTGAAGGTGGAGGAGGTGGAGCCGGTGATGGACACTCAGAGCCAAACAGGCCTCAGCATACAGGAAGGTGAGTAGTATCAGTGATCACACTATGAGCTATTGATTAGGACACTTCTCTGACATCACCCTCACAACACAAAATACATATATGCCACTCAGTTTCTTTCTCTTTGTATCTAGGGTTGGTGGAGTCGAGCACCGATGACTACAGAGTAGTTCTGCCATTTGATGAAACCACACAAACTTCCACCAATCAGCTGTCTGACCAACAGGTGTCTGGGCGGGGCTTCTCAGAGGTCAGCTATGGCTGTTCATCGCTGTGGACTAATGGAGGGGGTAGTTATTGTCACAATGACAGCCTCACTGGGCCATCCTCACACTGCGCCCCCCTCTCATACCTGCCCACCACACTGATTGGAGCAGGGCCTGGCAGCTCTGGGAGGGGATTGGCTGTTGAAAGCTCCAAAGGCTTCCACACCTCTGTGTCCTTTCAGCAGCAGCCTCCTGTTATCGATCTGTCAGAGGAGTCCAGCCCCATTCAGGTTTTAGATCAGATACAGGGACCCCAACAGTTTCTGGAACCTGCTCAAAGTCAGAGTCAGGGCAGTTATAGCAGCGCTGATAATCAGCAGAAAATCCCCAGGAAGAGGGTTTGCATCTGTAGGTTCTGTAGTAAAGGGTTCAGCTCCCCGGCAAATTTAGAATCCCACCTCAGGACTCACACAGGAGAGAGGCCTTATGGCTGCAGCATTTGTGGCAAAAAATTCTCCCAGTTCTGGAACCTGAAGATCCACAGGAACATCCACACCGGGGAGAGACCGTACCAGTGCTCGCTCTGCCCCGAAAGGTTTTCTGACCCCAGCAACCTGAAAAAACACCAAAAGAGACACCACCCACAGACGTAGGCATGCAGGCAGGGACATACTCTGTTAGAAGGTCTCAAAAACCCTAAATTGACATAAATAACAAGTCTTAGATGTAATATATGCTACAGGGAGTTCTCCTTGTCCAAGATGCAAGATGGACAACCATTTTATTTTTTTTGTACAGTACTTGCAGAGTATCAGAAAATATCCAGCAAGTTGAAATAAAGGCTGGTCCCTAATAAACAATAAAGAGGGGTTGAATTACCTGTACTATAATAGCTCACATGATAAATTCAGTTCAGTTCATACATTTTTTTTAAAACACACTCTTTTATTAACAAAATGCAGGTTTTATTCAGTAATTGATTCCGGTTGCTTCTACAGTGTCATCTTTCTGAGCGCTGTTAAGCTAATGTCAGTGATACTCCACACTTCATGCACATATTTCAGTTAAAAGTATAAATGTGCATAACACGAATGTGGGGAATGGGAAATAATTACAAAGAAGCAGGGTGGTGAGTGGGACCTGACCCTGTACAGGTGCTGGTCATATAATTAGAATATCATCAAAAAGTTGCTTTATTTCAGTAATTCCATTCAAAAAGTAAAACTTTGATATTATATTCATTCATTACACAGAGACTGATATATTTCAAATGTTTATTTCATTTAATTGTGATGATTAAAACTGACAACTAATGAAAATCCCAAATTCAGTATCTCCGAAAATTTGAATATTACTTAAGACCAATACAAAAAAAGGATTTTTAGAAATGTTGTCCAACTGAAAAGTATGAACATGAAAAGTATGAGCATGTACAGCACTCAATACTTAGTTGGGGCTCCTTTTGCCTGAATTACTGCAGCAATGCGGCGTGGCATGGAGTCCATCAGTCTGTGGCACTGCTCAGGTGTTATGAGAGCCCAGGTTGCTCTGATAGTGGCCTTCAGCTCTTCTGCATTGTTGGGTCCAAAATTCACTTTCATCAGAGAACATAACTTTGGACCACTCAGCAGCAGTCCAGTCCTTTGCTGTGTCTTGTTGCTTGACACAAGGAATGCAACAGCTAAAACCCATGTCTTGCATACGTCTGTGCGAGGTGGTTCTTGAAGCACTGACTCCAGCTGCAGTCCACTCTTTGTGAATCTCCCCCACATTTTTTGAATGGGTTTTGTTTCACAATCCTCTCCAGGGTGCGGTTATCCCTATTGCTTGTACACTTTTTTCTACCACATCTTTTCCTTCCCTTCACCTCTCTATTAATGTGCTTGGACACAGAGCTCTGTGAACAGCCAGCCTCTTTAGCAATGACCTTTTGTGTCTTGCCCTCCTTGTGCAAGGTGTCAATTGTCGTCTTTTGGACAGCTGTCAAGTCAGCAGTCTTCCCCATGATTGTGTAGCCTACAGAACTAGACTGAGAGACCATTTAAAGGCCTTTGCAGGTGTTTTGAGTTAATTAGCTGATTAGAGTGTGGCACCAGGTGTCTTCAATATTGAACCTTTTCACAATATTCTAATTTTCTGAGATACTGATTTTGGAGTTTTCATTAGTTGTCAGTTATAATCATCACAATTTAAAGGAATGAACACTTGAAATATATCAGTCTGTGTGGAATGAATGTATACATTATACAAGTTTCACTTTTTGAATGGAATTACTGAAATAAATCAACTTTTTGATGATATTCTAATTATATGACCAGCACCTGTATATGTATATGTTGTATATCCATCCATCCATCGTCAACCGCTTATCCTGCGTACAGGGTGGCAGGGGCCTGGAGCCAATCCCAGCTGACATTGGGCGAAAGACAGGGTACACCCTGGACAGGTCGCCAGTCCATCGCAGGGCTATAAGTTGTATATGACATACAAATATTTTTAGAAAGGCTTGTCTCTACTCTGAGCCTGTTTCAGGTAAAGGCCCGATTCTCTGCAGTGGAGGTAAATAAAGGGCATGGCCATTATTTGAGAATTTACAGTAATTCAAGGGGTACAGGACCAGAACTGGATTTAAACTATTTGAAGGGTATCAGAGATACAAACAACAAAAACCCTCAGTCATTGAGAAACTGAGACATTTCAGACGGGGCAGGAGAGAATGTACTGTGTGCTTTTTTAACATATTTAATAATGATCTTCCAGTGACAATGCATTCATTTGGCTTTGTTTTTGAATTTGAAATATCTACAAGAATAATTCTCTTGTATAATAATAATTCTAATGTGTCATTTTAAAGTCTGACAATTATGTGAAATACAAGCCATTGTCGCATAAACATATGATGTAAATGTAATGCTAGCTTTTTCTATTGTGTCACAATTTTGTAAATCCTGCTAAATGTCCACAGTTTACAATTGTAAGTCATTAAAACTTTATAAAAACTGAACTTGTGAATTTGTGTTTTCATTATAAATCATACATTACAAAATTGTGACACAATATTATCATCAACACTGTTACTCATACAGAGTCATACAATGCTGTGCATTGTTCTAAATTGTAATGATTAATTGTATAGATTTCCATGAAGGTCTTCCATTTTGGATACTCCACAAGCATTTTGGATACTCCACAAGCATTTCTGTACTGGCACCCTTTGATGAAATTTCGGCCAGTGTTGTGGTGTGTAATGTTAGCCACCAGCTGGCCTTTACAATGGAAGTCTTGTCATAAGACGAGTTATATTTTAATACAGTATGCTGTAGTTCTGTAGTGGGTGAGTATCAGTGCGCGGTGGTGGTGAATATAGATTGATGCTAGACATTCAGTTATTAAGATGTCCAGAAAACTGTCATATTTAGAACAAGCGCTGTTATATCCTGTTACATTAATGCCCCAATAGTGTTTCATTAACACAACATTAATGCTATGTATTGTGCCAATTCAGCTGTTTACCTTGAAAGAGTCGACTGAGAGGAGTATCATATTGTGGACGTAACTGTCCAGAGTTGTAAAACACTAATGTTAAATGGCATTTGCATGAGCACGTATTTGAGTGCCCTGATAGATGATAGACTGGGCTGATCAACCTTCTCCCTGGACTACTCCTTCTGTTGATTTTGTATGAATTTATGTATGTAACTATAAGTTACACTACACCAACTCTATGCAGACATGAGGGTGGGATCGTTTTTCTCATGTAATACCCAAAATGCCCAACTACTTTTATAGATGTCTATCCAGTCCTTACCCTGATGAGACTAACACCTGGTCTTAATGCACCTCTCCCCCCCACCCCACCCCCACCACCTCACAGTCTGCAGCACCTCAGTCGATCCCTGTGACATCACAAGACCCCAGCTGTATAGTGGCAGTCCAGCTAAGGCTACCAGAAACCAACACACCTGCCAACTATAACACTCAACAAGAGCGGAGATCCAGCAACAACAACCCTCTGAGCTCTGAATACTCTCTCTTTGAACTGGAGACATTCTTTACCCGTTGGGCCCCTGAAAAAGACTCTTCATCACCCCCTGGTGGCCCTTCATGTTCTTTCACCACTGATGACTCAGCAGAGTGTGACCAGGATGGTGTTATTATTGTAGATACTGAACCACAACCTCAACATGTGCTTCAGCCACCACACGGCTCAGTTTCCTCCGCTGTGAGGATGAGTGGAGGAGAAGTTCACGTCCAGCCATCTGTGTCTCAAGGTAAGAGATGGTCTCCTTATCTTTGCTATATCTCCTTTGGCTTTTCTTTCTATCTGCTGTACTCAGTTCAGTTTTATTTAAATAGTGCCAATTCATAACAGAAGTTATGTCATTGCACTTTTCATATAGAGCATGTCTAGACCATACTCTTGTATAATATTAACAGAGGCACTAGGCCACAATGGCAACGAAAAACTCTTTTACTTTTAAACTTTTAACAGGTAGAAACCTCGAGCAGCACTACTTTATCCAGCATTCTTTGGGGGGGAGCATGAGAACGCCTTTTGCATCTTGTCCTGTCTAATGAACAGTCCTGTGTCTACTCATCTCTGTGTCCATCTGTTCCAATCAGCTTGAGAAGTAGCTGTCCATTAGCAACACAGCTAATCTGGGTCTTCACCAGGCTTAAAAAATACCATCTAAACCAAATTCGTTTTCATGTGGACTGCATGAGAAGTAAATGTGTTATTTTTATGTACTGGTGCCGCCAACTGAAGAACTGAATCAGTTGAAGGCTTTATTAAAATCACCTGGTGTTCATATTGTATTCAATTCAATTTTATTTATATAGTGCCTTTCATAAAAGAGCAGGGCCCCTCCAAAAGTATTGGAACGGTAAGGCAAATTCCTTTGTTTTTGTTGTTCACTGAAGACATTTGGGTTTAAGATCAAAAGATGAGTATGAGACAAGAGTTCAGAATTTCAGCTTTTATTTCCTGGTATTCACATTTAACGTTAAACAACTCAGGACATACCACCCTTTGTTTGAACACACCCATTTCACAAGTGAGCAAACTATTGGAACATGTGACTGACAGATGTTTCTGACAGATGTTTCTTGTTGCCCAGGTGTTGCCTTTTAGGTTGATTGTCCAAACATTAAATAGCTCTGCATGACAAGTCTAAGTTTTCATCCTTGGTTCAAACCTATAAAGACTGCATTTCCTGTTAAAGAGGCTAAACCAACATGAAGACCAGAGAGCTGTCTGTGGGAGAAAAGCAAGCCACTGTCAAGCTGAGAAAAGAAGGAAAATCAACCAGAGCCATTGGACAAACATTGGGCAGTGTACTGTCCACTGCAGTAGTAGAGTGGTTTATTGTAGAATGTGGACAGAAAAGCTCAGTGTCATGTTTCTGACATTCAGACGGAACAATGTCATGAATGTGTGCTGAGTCCTGTTTTTCTGTTCCCAGCCCTTTCAGCAGGGACTTCTGTGTCCATACCTAAGAGGATGCAGGCTCCATCTTCCCAGCCTCCATGGAGCAGAACACCAGCCATGGTAAGAAGTACACCAGCTCAGCTGCTGCAGCAGCCCCATAATAGCAGGATCTCTCAGCAACAACACAGGACTCCCTCTGCAGAGAGCACACTGTCCTCCACCACAGTTGGTGTCAATAACACTCACAGTGCTGGTAAATCAAGTAACTCTGGTATCAGCTCAACCAGTAGGACTATATGCTCTGCCATGGCTGCACAGTCAGCTTTACCTGTCAGGGGATCCACAGCAGCGCTGGCCAGCATTGAGGTGGCCATTGCTGCACAGCATCGATCCAGCCTTCTGGCTCACCACGATAAAAGCCAGGATGCCAGCATTGTGCCCGGCGAGCGCCGCAGGAAGAGCTACGTGTGTCGAGCCTGCGGCAAGGCTTTCTCTGGCTTGTCCAATCTTGAGGCCCACGAGAGAGTACACACTGGGGAGAAACCTTTCCGCTGTGATACCTGTGGGAAACGCTTCTCAGAGGCGGGGAACCTGAAGAAGCACCAGAGAGTTCACACCGGTGAGAAACCCTTCAGCTGTGACCAATGTGGGAAGAGATTCGCTTGGATCTGCAACCTGAGGACGCATCAGCAGTCAGCCACAGGCTGCGGACCACAGGCCAGGGGAGGGTTAGGACTGGGCTGAGCACTCCAAGTAGACGGACGGACAGGTTTGCTAATGCTCGTAGGATTTAATCACACACACAGATGCCAATTCTTCATTCTGAAACAATAGTACGACAACAATACACAAAGTGTGAAACATTATTGACTTGTTTTGTCTTTGATACACTGTCCGATGAACACTGTGCATCTACTAGCTCTCAGTTAAATGAGCAAACTAGTGGGGTTTTTTTTATTTAGCTCATTAACTACAAATCATGTGTACTTTTTATGTTACTACTGACCATTTACCAATGTAGGTTATGTTTCAGAGTTTTAAAGCGGTTGCTCCAGGCAGTCAGTGCTTTCATTTAATGTAGCTTCAATACCATGCAACAATAGGCTGACTTTTACACATGAAATTACACATGTTTGCTGTAATTACCTTTTTTCAAGTGTCTGCAAGTTGAGTTTCATGCTTTACATAAATAAACTGACACTAAAGGCTGCCAGGATGTTCCAGCTAACTAGGGTATGCTTTGGGAAATTGTCGTAGTAATACTTAACTTGTGCTCAATTGGCTAAAACGTTGTCTGGTCTTTCTCAGACTTGTTCTCGGGATTCATTTCATTTTATTGCTGTATTGATTTTGAGGCATTAGTATAATTACCACACCAATCTGGTTGTTAAAGTTCTCTTCCCATTCAAAACAAAAGATGCCAGCAAGTAGCTTTTAGGTATTATGGGTATTGTGTTCTTACCTTTGAGAGACGCCAGGACATTCCAGAAAGTTATTATACTGTTGTTAACAGTAGTTACACTCATGGTCGCAATTAATTTGACGTTGATGAGTGCTAATACTTTTGTACTTTGATCACTTGTAAATTTTGTTAAGATGTAAAATAAACATTTTGTGAGGCACAATGTTCATCCGTGTTAGTTGAGTGCTCCTAACTTACGGTGCTATTGTGGTCTTCTGTCAGTAATGGTCACAGCAATAAAATGACATAATCTGGTACATATCTATGAAAACCTGTGTGATCAGCCACTATGTAGGTTTTGGTTGAAACACAACAATGACTTAGAGTCGACCATTTTAAAATAAGGTTTCTAGCTGAAGGTCATTTAGTAGCAATGTTCTAGGTTTTCCCTCTTCAACGCCATATGCAACAAGTTGGAAGGACCACAGATGTGCGTGCAGAGCTTTACACCACTGAAGAGCATTGCAAGCTAATTCTTATTTTATTGTTATTGGTAGAAAGCACACATACAGCATGTCCAGTTAAGATGCACTACATTTTTGGTGAATATTTTGAGTGTGTTTGTTTATTCTTCAGTTCTCCAAATGTTAGATTTGGTACTTTGCATGAATATTTATGACATCTTCAGTTAATCTTAAAAAATTTAAGTATTATATTATAATATCTAATTCACTCATATCCAACACAGCCCTATGCTCTACACACCATCATCCACAACTGCTTTTTCTTCCAAGTTTGGGATGTTACACAACTCCACTTCATAAAGATTTCTCAAGAAAGCTTAATACAGCACATTTTTTTTAAACACATTGATATGAAACCAGAAATAGACAACTGATAAAATGACATTTTGATGACATTAAAAAGTTCAGACCTAGACATGTAATCTCTAAATCCAAACAAATTTACATTGTATGGTACATTGGCTCTCCCAACTCTCAACTCAGTGAGGCTAAATACGTTCTAATTTGTATAACAGAAGCAATTAAATATCACTCAATGTGTGAAACCATTGAAAACACACGGGCCAAAACACTTAACCAATTGCTGGACTGATTACTGTTTTTTACAATCACTAACATTCCTTTGTCCAATCTGTAGTCACATTTTCAAAACAAGTAGCCCACCATCAGTCTGTTTAGGAACATGCCATTAACACAATATTTCCACAGAATAGGCAGTAAATGAACCCATTTCTAAAATTTTTCTTTACATACTAGCTTACACAATAACAAAATTATGGATCTTTTGTGTCATATTTACAAATGCATGCACACAACATGTCAGAAATAAAAGACCAGAATGTTCAAAACCTTAAATATTGTATAAAGCCTCTACTTCTGCAACAACAGCAGCTCAAAATCTATATTGAAACAGCTGATAAGCATTTCTGAATGACCATTTCAGTGAGACATTGAGATATAGCTCATTTATTGTAATTTGGGTAAAATAGATCAATCACAGCTAATTCTAATCTAATCTAAGTTATTTCAATTACATACGCAATGCAGTAAAAAAGGGACTTTCTGGATTGGGTTTATCAAATGTGGATACAGAATAACACAGAGGAGGAGAGAATGAAAGAATAATGTCCAGACAAGGAAGAGGAATAGTTGGGCCATGGAGCGGAGTAACTGGACCACAACCAGGAAGGGGAGGTAAGTGTTTCTATCCAAGATGCATAGTGAGACAACATTAGATGTGATGTGGATGAGAACATAAGGGCCAAATGTTGAAAAATTTATAGATTAGAACAGGACTGCATTTTTGTTGCTATCCCTTCTGTGCCTTTTTTGTTTCACTGCAATTGTGTATTTGACAGTATTTTTACACATTTTGAACCAAAAGCCACATAGGTTGGATTATTATTTGTTGATCACTGGCTGTAATTTCAGGTTGCTGATTACGCTTTTACTGCCGCAATTCTGATGACTACAATTTTTTCTACTGTACATTCTATAAAGTAGATGAAGAAGATGACTCACTTTTACATAGTTTGTTGCCAAAAATGCACATATTCGACCATTAAGCCAAAAATTTTACAGTTTACAGTAAAAGGAAACTGAATTACAGAAAACAATGGATTTCACATTGTCAGTTCTACCTGCATATAACCTGCATATAATGCAGGTAGAACTGAAGCATGAAAAGTAATGCAGTTTTGTAATGCCATTAGCATTACGATTATTATCACTAACACTACTATAAATATCTGTACCATTATTCATTCAGTCTGTACCAACATTACCTTTACTGTCTGTACCTCTGTGTGTATATTGTGTAGGCGACTTCCCCCTACCCCTCCATCCCTCTCTCCCTCCTTATGGCTATCTCTATCTGTCTCTCTCTCTCTTGCCCTTTCTCTCCCTCTCTCTCTCTCTCTCACCCCCAACCGGTGGAGGCAGATGGCTGCCCACCCTGAGCCATGGTTCTGCTTGAGGTAACGATGAATCCTCCATGTGCGCCAAAGTTAGTCATGGAGTTCCACAAGGATCTGTGCTGGGACCAATCCTCTTCACTTTATATATGCTTCCTTTAGGCAATATTATCAGGAAACACTCCATAAACTTTCATTGTTATGCAGATGATACTCAGTTATATCTATCGATCAAGCCAGATGAAACTAATCAGTTAGCTAAACTTCAGATGTGCCTTCAGGATGTTAAAACCTGGATGACCTGTAATTTTCTAATGTTAAACTCAGATAAAACTGAAGTTATTGTTCTGGGGCCTAAGCACCTCCGTGATGCATTATCTAAAGATATAGTTTCCCTTGATGGCATCGCCCTGGCCTCCAGCACCACTGTGAGGAATCTTGGAGTTATCTTTGATCAGGACATGTCGTTTAACTCTCACATTAAGCAAATTTTAAGGACCACCTTTTTTCACCTACGTAATATTGCAAAAATCAGGAACATCCTGTCTAAAAATGATGCAGAAAAACTAGTCCATGCATTTGTTACTTCTAGGCTGGATTACTGCAATTACTTATCAGGCTGCTCGAAAAAGTCCATTAAGACTCTTCAGCTGATCCAGAATACTGCAGCACGTGTTCTGACAGGAACCAGGAAAAGAGATCACATTTCTCCTGTTTTAGCTTCTCTGCATTGGCTTCCAGTAAAATCCAGAATAGAATTTAAAATCATTCTTCTTACCTACCCCACCAGAGCACTGCGCTCCCAGAATGCAGGGTTACTTGTGGTTCCTAGAGTCTCCAAAAGTAGTATGGGAGCCAGAGCGTTCAGCTATCAAGCTCCTCTCCTGTGGAACCAGGTTCCAGTTTGGGTTCAGGAGGCAGACACCATCTCCACATTTAAGAGTAGGCTTAAGACTTTCCTCTTTGATAAAGCTTATAGTTAGGGCTGGCTTAGGTGAGTCCTGAACCATCCCTTAGTTATGCTGCTATAGGCCTAGACTGCCGGGAGACTTCCCATGATGCACTGAGGTCCTCTCTCCTCTTCTTTCTCTCTCTCTGTATGCAACCTCATCCCATTAATGCATGGTACTAGCTCGACTTTTTCGGTAGTAACTCCCCTTTCCGGTAGTCTTGTGCTTTCTCGTCCCTCTCCTCTCTCCTCCTATCACTTCCTGCAGGTGTTTCTGGCTCTGGAGCTGTGGAGTCTGGATCTGTGGTTGCGGGTCACCTGCTGCCCCCGTGTTCCTGCTCGACACCCTCTGCTACAATTATTACTAGTCCTATTGTTATTATTGTAATTATAATCATTAACATTACAATTTTTGTCATTAACACTACTGTAAATATCTGTACCATTATCTATAGCAACATCACCTTTACTGTCTGTATTTCTGTGTGGATATTGTGTAGGCTGCTTCCCTCCCCTCTCTCTCTCCTTCCATCCCCCTCCCTCTCTTAAAAGGAAGTTTTTCCTTGCCTCTGTCACCTAGTGCTCGCTTTTGGTGGGAATTGTGGTTCGGTTTCTGTAAATAACATCACAGAGTACAGTCTAGTCCTGCTCTTTTATGAAAAGCGCTTTGAGATAACTGTTGTTGTGATTTGGCGCTATATAAATAAAATTGAATTGAAAATTGAATTGAACTCTATAAACACTGGATGGATTGAATAAAGACTGGATGGACTGAAATTGGTGTTTGTTTCAGATGGAGCCCAGGATACAGATCACACACATTTGCTGCTGCTTCTAATCCACTGAGCTTGACTCTGGAATATGAAAGGAAATTTACAGATTAAAGTGCAACACACAGCAGCTACATAGTGTTGCATCAAATGTACTGAATATGTACATACTGAATCCTGTCTATAAGAGTGGTGCTTTGGTTTGTTTGGTAGAGTAATATAATACAAAACAGGGGCATACCATACTGTTAGAATAATGACTTTGCTTCATGTTCCTTGTGATTGTACTGTCATAGTAGGGCTGGGCGATATGGACCAAAAATCTTATTTTTAGGGTGAATTCCAATGGAAGAAAAGGCATGTATTTACTGTTTCTAGTAGTTTTTTCTAATTTCATCATTTTAATTCTTCTTTATTATCCTCCATCTTATTTTAGTCTTTGCTTAATAATTGAATCTGCTCCATTTCCCTTCAGTGCTTATAAAATATTTACAGAGTCTGCGACTCTAGAGGGGACGCAGAGTGGGGGCGGGATAGCAGAGAGGAGCAAATGCTGGCAGGACTTAAAAAAAAAAAAAATTCAACTCAACATCAGAGTATATCGGTATAAATGGTATTGTCTTTTGAAAATATACCGGTTTACCTTGTAATACTGATAAACCAGCCCAGCCCTATGTCATAGTGAGTACAGATTTGAGCTGAAATTTAGCTTGGCCTGCACATATATCAGCAAATCATCTCTACTTCTGTAACATCCTCTTTATTGTTCTCCTTCTGCTGCTTTATCTTGTCTTCATGTTCTCCCTTTTTCTGTTCCTCTTCTTCCTTTGTGCCCTCCCTCTAGTTCTCCTTCCCTTTCCGCCTCTATTGTTGTCCTCCTCCTGTCTTGCAGGGCGCAGGGCAGACAGTTTGCCAGGAAGAGGACAGCAGCAAGACAGAGCAGAGAGAGGACAGCGCCCGCACCGACGTCCAGCTCTCGAGCTCGCTGCCCTTCCTCATCCTCTTCCCTCCTCTCTCCTGTCTCCTGGCTCGGGGAGAAGTACACAGCACCCTCCTCCTGGCTCGGCATCAGCACAGCCCTTTCCAGATTGTTCCGACTTACCATCCCTCCATTACCCAACTCATTCCAGTTTCTATTAGTCATTATTCCACTGATTTTGTCATAGTAGTCACTGCTTAGATTCCCACTTTCGTTCTCGTCAAAGTTTGATGCATATATGTCACTGTCTGACTCAACCAGCATGTCTGAAATGTCAAATTCAAACTCTTTACCCTGCTCATCTTTGTCCCCTACTGGCTGCAGGAAGCCCAGGTCTAGGTTGACTCTGATCCAACCAGATCCTCTTGCCAGCCTCCTGGTCCCTCTGCCTCCACCTCCTCCTTCTCCATCCTTCCAATCCCTGTCACTTTCACTGAGAGAGTTGGAAGTGATTGGCTGGTCTGTGCAGGCTGAAACCAGTAGTTCTGCACGCAGTAAAGGCCCACCTCCGTCACCCTGGGCAATGATACGTTGGCTGGAGCCGGGCGTCACCACAATCACAGTGTCAGCCAATGAGGAGAGACGCAGGAAAAAGGGTAGATCGTTGAAGGAGGAGAGGAGGGAGGCAGTGTCGTCACTAAACTGGAGCCAGACACTGATGGATGCCTCCTGGAGAAACCCAACAGGATATAGATGGAAAGACTATATTATTGTCCTCTTAAGTGTTTCATGTTGTTAATTTATATAAATAAACAATAAACACCTTGCATGGCAACGTCTGAATATGTGTGAATGGTTGAATGTGACATGTAAAGCGCTTTGAGTGGTCAGAAGACTAGAAAGTTATATGTTAGCTCCCCATGCATGCCAAAGTTAGTCATGGAGTTCAACAAGGTTCTGTGTTTGGTACAATGTCGTTGGCAGACAGAGAGTTGCTAAACTAGTGTAGAAGCACTGCAGCTTTTGGACAAATAAACACCCGTAGACTGACTGGATTATGCTCTGACAACTACGCCGTTTACCCGAGGGAGGAGCTCAGAGTGAACGTTTAGTTAACTTTATAAAATTAGCATTTTACTTTAGTTTTTGGGAATCAAAACGTTGATTTGTCTTCACTTGAGCTTCTCAGCAGCTAGCTTCCAGTTCCACTGTTTTTGTTAGCGTCGGATGGCACCCGGAACTCTGTTGGACTACTACTTCATATTTATATACTGTGTCTCCACTGTGAGACACCAATGTGTCCTTGAGCAAGACACTTAACCCCTAGTTGCTCCAGAGGCGTGCGACCTCTGACATGTATAGCAATTTTAAGTCGCTTTGGATAAAAGCGTCAGCTAAATGAATAAATGTAAAATATAAAAAATGGACAAAACTAGACATTGCTTGGAGAAAAGAAAGCAAGGATGTTGAACTACCTGATGAGTTCAGAAAATATGTGTCTGTATCTTTATTCCAGCTACTGTTGTACTTTACTGTGAACTAGTGTTAGTGTAGCAAAGCCCTGATCGATCCAAACTCCATTAAATTTAATTTAAAAAGTTGGTGTCCTGCTGACTTGCTGACAGACCTGACAAAGTATGAATTAATATGTTTAACAAATCGGCATCATATTGAAGATATTTCGATCAGTTTGATCCGTTAATTGGAATGAAATCCCAGCAAATTATTTTTAACGAATTATTATATATTAAGTTGTGTGTGAACACTTGGCAGTTGTCTAGCGATAAAACACCCACGAGGAAAGCGTTGCAAGGATTACATTTAAGTTGTATGTGAACACACCATAAGGAGCAGAGAACATCATAGGGATGTCCCTGCCTTCTATAAAGGACCTTTTCCAGATACATTGCCTCAAGAAGGCACAGGGCACCATGAGACCCCTCACACACATCTCCACAAGCTGCTTGAAGCTGCTTGTCCCTTTGGGCTCAGGAGTCTCAAGACAAGAACTACAAGGTTCCTCAACAGCTTCTTGCCACAGGCAGTCAGACTGCTGAATAACTGCCCAATCTGACTTGCTGAACTCTGCTGCCACATGTATAGGTTTATATTGGAGGCAGACACCATCTCCACATTTAAGAGCAGGCTTAAGACTTTCCTCTTTGATAAAGCTTATAGTTAGGGCTGGCTCAGGTGAGTCCTGAACCATCCCTTAGTTATGCTGCTATAGGCCTAGACTGCCATGATGCACTGAGCTCTCTGCATCTGTATGCTTTCTTCAAACTTAATTTCTTATGCCTAATTCATATTTTCATCCATAGCACCCTAGTGGATGTCCATAGTGAGGCATATATCCTCCTCATAGCAGGTTGAATACATCTATCTCAGAGTTTCAAATGTAAAATGCTGTTGCCTTGGTGAGTAATTATTTGCAATTAAACCTCATTGACATCACGCTCACCTGGTGATGGTTGTACAGGATGTTGTAGGCTGTCACTGTTGCTGTGATGATGGAAGGGTGGGTTGGGCTGGCCATAACTGACATGCCAAGGCCGCTAACCACCTGTACAGACAGGTCCCCTGGGGTAACAGGGTTAGAGGTCACAGTGATGTCACATCTGCCCAGCACACCATCCCACTGCTCAGAGATAACCTGAGAAAACAGAGAGAGAGAGAGAGAGAGAGTGAGAGAGTTCATCATGCTCAGTAAGTGAACATGTCCAACTGAACTGATGTACAACTATCACCTACATAAAGTGATGTCTTTCCGGGTTGTAAACCAATCAGGTTGGCTTGTGTGCCAAGGGAAGCCACTCGAGGGTCATCTACTCTCAACCAGTTATGGACCAGGTCTGTAACATCCACAAACCAATCAGATGAGCCCAGTAGGTGTGTGGTTCTGCCATGGGAGTCTTGAGCTGTGAACTGAGTCAAAACTTGTACTGAGGTACGCTGATACACCGGCACACACCTAAGGAGACAAGACACAAAGAACTAGCCTAACTAACATATTTCTGTGAGATAATACACAAATACACATGATGATGCTTGTGTTACCAATATAGCTGAGAATCTATCAAAACTTATGCATAGTAACCTTGGATCTCTGAATTTAGCTGCATTCACAGCTTTAACAGGCCTTAAAGGTTTCTTGTGGAGTTCCTGACCTCTAGTAGCACTATGGAGTAGTTTTTCTATGAGTGGGTCCCTGTTTTATTTATCTCATGGATTTAACCCTTGGTATTACAGTAGTTTTTTACAATTGCTAACAAGCATTTTTCAGTACTGAGTTTACTTTTTCAAAACTCTTCACCCTGTGGTCTGTACCAACACACAGCTTGCACAAGTTAATTTCACACCCAAAATGCACCTAAACTACCAAAACACTGCATGCTTGTTTCAATATCAAATAATTTTACAAAAACACCAGCAGTAGTTCTCTCCAACAGCAGCACTTTGTCACTACACTAACACTAACAACAGGTAGCATTACAGTAGATGCATCATTCTATTGGAATCTTTGAAGTAGTAAATAATTTTGTGTTCTTTATTTTTTTGGTTGTGTGTATGTATATTTTTATTTTTTATTGTTGACAGTATATGAAATGTGTACATTGTCTTATTTTACAGTAAAGTTCCCATAATGAAATGCAGTAAGAATGTTAAGTTCCATGCTGATAGAACACAAGAGTCCAGTAAGACCAGAGGAGGACTACGTGTATACAGTGGAGTGAACAAGCATTTGCCCCTTCCTGATTTCTTATTTTTTTCATTTTTGTCACACTGAAATGTTTCAGATAATCAAATACATTGAAATATTAAACAAAGATAACACAAGTAAACACAAAATGCAGTTTTTAAATTAGCCCTGTGTGAAAATGTTGATGTATGATTGAACATACATCAACTGTGGTTTATCACATGTTTGGAAAGCTGAGTTCAGTTTCTCTAGCCACACCCAGGCCTGATTACTGCTACACTTGTTCTCAATCAAGACATCACTTAAATAAGACCTGCCTGACAAATCGAAGAAGACCAAAAGATCCTCACAAGCTAGGCATCATATTGCGATCCAAAGAAATTCAGGAACAAATGAGAAACTGAGTAATTGAGATTTATCAGTCTGGAAAAGGTTATAAAGCCATTTCTAAAGCTTTGGGACTCCAGCAAACCACAGTGTATCACAGTATCATAGTATCCATCCATCCATCCATCATCAACCGCTTATCCTGCGTACAGGGTCGTGGGGGGCTGGAGCCAATCCCAGCTTACACTGGGCGAAAGGCGGGGTTCACCCTGGACAGGTCGCCAGTCCATCGCAGGGCCACACATAGACAGACACCCACTCACACCAATTAACCTAGGCTGCATGTCTTCGACCAATTGACCTTCGAACAATTTGGAATGTCCTGAAAAAGAAAGAAACTACTGGTGTACTGAGCAACAGACGTCCAACAGACAACCAAGGAAAACAACAGTAGTTGATGACAGAAATATCATGAGAGCTGTGAAGCCCCCAAAACATCAGTAAGGACATCAGCAGCACCTCCGCAGTGCAGGGCTGAAGGTATCACAATCCACTGTTGGAAGAAGACTCAGAGAGCAGAAATATAGAGGCCACACCACAAGATGCAAACCACTCATCAGCCAAAGAAATTTGCAAAATGAGCCGCAAAAGTTCTGGAAAATCTTATGGACTGATGAGACCAAGATTAATCTCTAGCAAAGTGATGGAAAGGCCAAAGTGTGGAGAAAGAAAGGAACTGCTTATGATCTGAAGCATACAAGCTCAGCTAGATGTGTAAATGCTCCGTATTTGTATAGCGCCTTTCTAGTCTTTTTCGACCACTCAAAGCACTTTTACACTACATCTGCATTCACACACTGAGCCTAAGTGCTCAAACAGAAACTAACATTCACACACGGCCCACACATTCATACACTGGCGGAACAGCCACCAGGGGAAATTCGGGTTCAGTATCTTGCCCAAGGACACTTCGACACGCAACCAGGGGAGCCAGGGATTGAACTGCCAACCTTCCGATTAACGGCCAACCCGCTCTACCTCCTGAGCCACAGCCACCCAGGATCTTTCCTGGTATGTGAATACCAGGAAATAAAAGCTGAAATTCTGAACTCTTGTCTCATACTCATCTTTTGATCTTAAACCCAAATGTCAGTGAACAACAAAAACAAAGGAATACGTTCCAATACTTTTGGAGGGGACTGTACTAGTAAGATCTAATAGCACAGCCGGGACTGGGATTGCTTTGTGTGAAGGGATGACAGAGCCAGGCAGCGTTCGTTGGAGGAGTGTAGTGGCAGAGAAGAAACGTAAACTTGTATTATGGAGTGCAGATCCAGTAGTCACTCTGTGTGCAAGCATTAGTGACTTGAATCTGAATTGAACTCAGGAGAGAGCTGGCAGTCAGGTGGATTTCCGGTGTAAGAAAGGAATTTGTGAGCACATGATAGCAAGGTAGAGAAGGAGGAGACCCACACATTTAATTATGGCTTTTGTGGAGCTTTTTCATTCACCGCGGCTCCGTCTACAGCAGAACTGTGACAACAGCTGCTCTAGAGTGACGTCAAAGTTGCATCAATTTCAACCTGAGTGTCCAGACTCAGGTCGCATTTAAAAAGATCCGATCAGTATTGGATATGGACCACATATGAAAGTGGCCCAAATCTGAACTGGAAAAGATCAGATTCCGTGTGACTTGGCCTGTTCGCACTGTCACATAAAGATTAGATCTGAGTCAAATATGGGAAAAAAAAACCTACAGTCTGAACGTAGCCTTTGAGTCACTGAATTGTACTGATTTCTGTGACTGTATTTGTAAAAGCTGTTTTTTATTGGATTATGGTGTAAACATAGGCAGATGACTCTTCCCAGTAGCGACCACCAGTGGGCAGCATCCTTTCTGCCACTAGGTCAAACTACCCCCTGTGAATATGGTAGATAACCCTGTACTTACTTGTTTAGGTTTTTGCAGATTAGAGAGCACACGTTAAAGACGCCAAAGTGTTTGAAGACGGTAATGAAGTAAGATAAATGAAACTGCACATCTAGTCCTAACACCCTTGGGAAGCAGAATGAGGTGTGTATAGTTTATTTGTATATTTGTGGGTGCTGTGGGAGTGAAATTGTTCATGTTGCTTATTGCTGAAACGTTGTTTGACAGTGATGAAGAGCTATTTAGATTTGAATTATTATTTAGCTGTGTGGTTTAAAAATGGTAATGGTAGTCTAATTGGTGTATTTAATTAGGGTTATTTTTGTTGCATTTGATTTGATTTTAACTTAGGAGATATGTTTATAAAAGTATTCGGTACATGTGTTCACTGCTGTATGTTTCTTTGTTATACTGTGTGTTTCTTTGTTATACTGTATTGTGTTTCTTGTACTTTGTTATGTGTTTTACACTTTCTGCAGCACAATTTGCCCACTTGGGACAAATAATAAATTGAATTGTATTGAATTGAAGGTTGGTGGCTCGATCCCTGGTTCCTCCAGTCTGCATGTCGAAGTATCCTTGGGCAAGATACTGAACCCCAAATTGCTCCCGATGGCTGTGTGTGAATGTGTATGAATAATTAAGTTTCTGATGAGCAGTTTGCATTGCAGTCTCTTCCATCAGTGTATGAATGTGAAGTGGTCTGAAGACTAGAAAGGCGCTACAGTCCATTTTCCATTTAGTAAAGTAATGTTTCTCCTACACTGTTGTAGGTTGGAAAGTCTAAATAAGACACATTGTGGCTGTCCGTCTACCCTTCTTCTGTGAAGTGGTTCCAGCCATTGATGGCATTGAGAACGGGGTCTGCCAAGGTCACTCGCAGGGGAACTGAAGGAGCCCACACCTCCAGACACACAGAGCCACTGAGCTCTCCCAGTAGAAACTCCACCATTGCACAGGTGTTACCCAACCCTGATTCACTGCCGTCCACAAAGATGGTGGAGCAATCGCTGGACACCTGTAGTTAGGATGGAGACAGACAGAGAACAAGATGGAGAAGACTGCAATTACACTGGTGATTAAGTAATATGGTATACTTTATTGTCACATAGACATAGTAAAAAAAAATTTCTGCATTTAACCCATGTAACTGGTCAAAGTAAATCCCACGCACACACGGAGAACATCCAAACTCCACATATAAAGGCCAGGACAACAGGGGTTTGAACCCACAACCTTCTTACTGTGAGGGCACAGTGCTAGCCACTGAGCCAACATGCCCTCTATGTGTAGTATGTATATTAAGTCAATCAAAACATTAGAGAATTCAGTTTTGTTCTAACTGAATGTTGAAATATAACTGTCACTTATTTAAATGAGCACCTGTTTACTAACATGGTAAACACAACAACTTTATATGGTGAAAATATGTCAGATGTTGTGTTAACAGCTTGTTGGGCTGCCCCAATCCGTGTATGGTTACTCCTTTCATTATTTCGTTTCAAAACCAAACCGGAAAAAACTAAAACACAAAAAAACAACTTGTCTCTTTTATCAAAATGGAAAAACAGAAAACCAGAACACCAAAAAAAAAGACATCTGTTTAGTTTTTCTGTTTTAAACTCATAACAGAAAACAAAGGAGCTGTGTTTTGTTCTATCTTTGAACGGTGTTGTATCCCTACAACCCATTCTCACTCCCCGACTCGTCACATATGGCATGGTCAAGGCCTATCTATAGCGTCATAGGTCAAGGCAGTGGGGGAAGCCCTGTAGCGTCAGTTTGTGACTGTAAAGGCAGGTATATGATATTTAACAGAAAAGACTGAGTAAAATTTATTTTACCACCAGCTCTGATAGGCCATCCCTGCCTGACTCACTCACTGCGTGTATCAGAGACATCAAGCATTGGATGTCCCTTAACTTCCTCAAATTAAATGATAATAAAACTGAGATATTAGTGATCGGCTCTGCTGCCTTAGTCAAAAGGATGGACCAGTATTGATGGTTTCCATATTAAGCCTTCATCACTGACTCATAACCTCTGTGTCTTATTCGACTCAACTCTGTCTTTTGGCTCTCATATTTCTTCTCTTTTTAAAAACTCTTTCTGTCATCTTCGGAATATTGCTCGTCTAAGATCTTCTCTCACTTTAGCTGACGCTGAAATCTTAATCCATGCATTAATCACATCACGTCTGGATTATTGCAATGCTTTATTTCTTGGTCTTCCCAAAAAACTTATTGCAAGATTACAGTATGTTCAAAACTCAGCAGCAAGAATTCTCACCTCCACCAGGCGTTCTGCTCACATTACCTTCACTTGCTACCCGTGGCATCACGTATCCACTTTAAGGTATTGTGTCTAACATTTAAGGCATTAAATGGTCTTGCACCCCCATATTTGTCTCATCTACTTTTCACCTACTGCCCTGCATGGTCTCTCAGATCAACTGAACTTTATTGTCCATCCCTCGTTTCCGGTTGTCTACAGTAGGTCATTTAGTGTTAATGCTCCAAAATTATGGAATTCACTGCCCCTTTCACTTCGAAATATTTCATCTGTGGCTACATTCAAGACACAGTTAAAACATATCTATTTAACATGTATTTCGTTTAAATGTGACTATATGTATCCTATATGATTGTAAGTTGTGTGTTTGTGTGTAAATGTACCATGTAAAGCGACCTTGAGCTCTGGAAAGGTGCTATATAAATAAGACTTCTTCATCTTTTTCTTCTTCTTCTGTGGCGCCAACAGGCAACAAGGGTTTGACCTTTTGACTTGTGTTTCTATCAAAGAGAAGGCTGCATTGCTACCAAAGGAAGCTAATCACTGAGTTTGAAGGTGTGCAGAACTTCACCTGCCTCTCAGCTGCTCTTTCTATGGTGCTATAGCTGCTAAAACTCTCAGCTTCCACCATCTACTGTTGTGTGTCAAAACAAATCTCTTCCGAAACAAATCTGTGGAGTTGTATAATTTTTATTTTCCTTTGCATTTTTCTCCAGTGTAATATACTTATTATGTTAGTTAAGTAGATTAAATGTTTTTAATACAGCCTGTAGTTCTCATTAGTTATGTAGGCATACTTATGTGTGAAACCTGGTGAGCATTTCTGAGAGTCAAAAAGCATCTCCTCTGGCTCTGGGGCTTTCAAGTCTTTTACTGCCTTTCTTGGGTTTAATTCTGTTTGATGAGCCACCAGGAAAGCTATGCACTGTTTGAACCCGTGTAAAGTAAAATAAAAGTGAAATTGAGTCTTAAGACAGCTAATGTGAGCCTGTGCAGGGTTTGAGGCCCCATCTCCTATCGTCACTCTCTGTTCATATAAATGTTGGTCTGTCAGGACAAAGCAGAACACCCCTCCTGCCTCCAGTACCAGAAGAGGGCCCTGTTGTCACTTTCAGATATTTACATCATGATTTATGGTAACCAACAACACCTTGTAATTGTGGGACTACTTTTGTGCATAAGGAAATTGAAATACATGGTGACCTGTACTAGACCCAGCTCCAACCTGTCGAACCTACCTGGGTCACCCACCTTTAGTACCAATCACCTTCACCCTCTTTACAGACAACATCTCACATGTGTAGCCTTGTACTTGAGGCTTTCAACGTTAAAAGAAAATAATTGCTTCTAAAGCATTTAAGTCTCATTTTGTATTGCATTGGATTTATTTAAAGGAAAAACTTGAGTACTTTGGGGAAATCTGCTGTTTACGTGGCCATCCTGTCTGTTTCCTGGAGGCTGAGTGTAATATGCGATGATAACTGGATCGAGTTAATGTTCCTGATCATTTGGTGGGTTATGTGTTTGTTGCAATTTGCAAGTATGTACAGCACTGTTGATGTGGTTCCATCTTTATCCTTGCAGACATGTTGCAACATTAAGACAGTGTGAGGGATGTGTGTGGACAGATTGATTCAATGCTGTGTGTTGCTTGTTCTGTGGGACATGTCTGATATGTTAAAAGGAAGAGAACTCAGTCTTGCTCTGAATCTGCTGATTTGTAGCAGATGTGAGAAAATGTCGTTAGAAGTTGCTGTTGGTATTCTGTGACGTGACAGAGGGAATATCAGAAGGTTTTTCTTCTGAGGTGTTGTGAATGAAAGGCTTAATGTCCACATAAAGCTCGGTGTCCATCTGACTGATGACCCCTCAGATTGTTAACTGGCAGTAAAGGCTGCTCTGGAAAAGACTGAACAATGTGCTCAGACTTTCTCATCTGTTTAAGGGAGTTTGGCCCCAGTCCCCTTTAGTAAAAAGACAAACAAAAAACTACCATGTTTGTGTATTGATAGCTAGCTGCTTAATAACTCTGATAAAACTAAATATTAACTGGTTCGAGTTTGACCACAATGCTAGCTGTTTAAATTTAAGCTTGTATTTCACTGAATGTTAGCCTGTGTGTGTGTGTTATCCATTTTCTTGTTGTGATGGGTAGGCTTTCGGCTTAGTAATGCCACGGTCTAGTTTCACACTCTCAGGTAATCTCCACCCTGCCTCTCCAGTGGTGGGCACACACCTGGAGACAATTACCTCATTAAGAGTTGACGTTCAGGGAGCACTCAGGATCTCTCTTGATGCGTTGTGTTACAGTGTGGTTAGGGAGCAGGTTAGGATTTTGGATGGAATGTCTCGAGGCTGATGCAGAACTGTTTTAGCTTTTGTGAACACTTTTTAAATTGGTTTTATTACAGGCATTTTAAGTCCCCTGTAGACTGCATGGCCTGTTTTGAGTTCACCGCAGAGATGGCCGTGGAGGTTGATTCCCTGATTTGCCTTAAACGTCCGGTCTTTGATTGAGGGGGAGTCAGACCTGGGTGGATGATTTGCTGCATTAATTGAGGGTTGTATAGCCACTGCTGATTTTTGTGTCCTGATTTTAAATGTGGATTCTTTTTATGAGACTCTGTTACAGGTGGATGGGCCTTTACATCATTAAAAACAGGCAGTCAATGCTGAGTACGTGTTCTCGGGACATCAGTCTGGTGAGGCCATATTTAAAATGTTACGGCAGTTATTGTTAAACTGTTTACTCACAAATGCAAACAAAAAAACAAAGTTAGAAAGCAGAAAATACTTTATAGTTGAACTTAACATTGTTGGTTTAGTATTGTTGTTGTTAATAAAACAGCCCAAAACCTGATTTTTAAATTTTGATGTTTCATAAATCACCTTTCCAGTTGAAACCCATGTCTATCTTGTAAAGAAATGCTCTATAAAAATTAAATCCCATGGGTTAAAATGAGAGATTATATCATGGATCTGTTCCCAAGCTTGCTTATTTGCTTGCAGCGCTATGCTAACCATTCTCCTAAGGAGGACAGTAGTCCAAAAATGTTAAAGTAGCACAGAATTAATTTATGATTTTATTATATACATATTTATAATATGCCTGAGCTCCTTCTCGTGTGCAATGACAGTTTTATGATGTGAAAACCAGTGGAGGCCTATGGAAATGAAGACCATTGGATTGAATGCTCGACATGGGCCTACAAATGTTAAAGCTTTTTAACATACTGATTTTGCCACATGCACACACAACCCACGCCACACTTTATGTAAACTAGATTTGTGAACATTATTTAAAGTATATCAATAACCTCTGTAAAGCAGATGTAAAACAGAACAAGGAGAATGTGTTGCTCTCAGGAGGAGGCTGTATCGTCACAATGACATCCTGGCTCTGGCTAAATCTACATCTGTAAGGTCACCAGTGGCCTTACAAATGTTTAATTCTCCCTAACAGTTATTATTTTATTAGCTATTGTTTTTATTTCAGTTAGCTAAAGTGTTTTTTTTCACACCCAGTGCTACTTTAGTTTTACTAAAAAAACGTTATTTTAGTTTTAAAAATCACCTTTCTAATTACATGTCACATGGGCTACTTTTATTTTGAAGGTTTTACCAGTAACTGTATCTTCCATAAAAGGAATAGACCACGTGACTTCCGTTTTTGGTTTATAACAAAAAACGAATTGACTGAAGTTCACAGACTCTCTTCATTCTTTGTTCAAAAAGAAATAACAATAAAATGAAAAACGGGCCGATTTTAATTGGTTTTTCGTTTTTTGATTCTGACACCAAAAATGGTTATTTGGTTTTTGAAACAAAAAACAGATATAAACGGTAATTTCATTTTAGAATTACAAACGAATTACAGATTATCCAGAGATACCCAGACCCAGAACGTGCACGGACCTTTCTGACCCAAACAGCTGAGCTCCAGTGGTGCAGTTCTAACACTGCTGTCAGCTTCTAGCAGCTCTGACAACAAACTCACATCAGAAATGTCCTGTGTGTCTTGCAAGTGAAGAGAATCCATACCAGTTTTTCCATACAACATTTATTCAACATATATAGCACATACATACTTTCAGTGGCATTATTTAAAATGTTCTGGCTGTACAACAGTATGCTTAAAACTTTTCATTTCAAGCAACAAAAACTACCTTGGTATGTGGCCTTCTTAATTTCTAATAGTGTCCCTCAAAGTGTTGACCTCAGACTCCACACCTGTTATTGAAAGAAATGCTGACCACCCAGTGTTCAACAATGATCAACAATCAGGGCCACAGTGCTCACTTTGTAGGTGTGGGCATACTGTAGTTGCTGAGGCCCAGCAGGTCTTCTGGCTGGCAGCTTTTCTGCACAACACAGCTTCAACTTTTAAAGGGTTTCCTCATCTAGGCCTATGTGTTTTTTGAATAATATA